GCTTGTTTTGTGTATAATTCATACAACCCCCACGAGCAGCAACGTGTGTGCGTGCGTGTTAACTACATCTCTCATCGGCGCCCTGATCTCGTCCTAATGCATTTCATTCTCTGTTTTAATAATAGCCGAGGCAAATTAATTCGGTCCGGCCTTTCCGATTATATTTTCTCACCGCGCCGAGAGGATCAAGTTGCACACCAGCAGCCCGCTCTTTTCTATAAACAAACGGACTTATTAATTGACTCGATGATGGCGCCGGATTTTATTTAGAATTCCCGCATTTTACTCTTTTCAATTCGACGCCAGCTGGGCAATATCACGAGGAGGCCAATCAATTTTGGGACCTTTCCAATTTATTTCTAAAAATTCACGTCTGCAGGCTAAACAAAGTGTGAAGGAAAAAATTCCATTCATTTTTAAACAGAAATTATTAAAAAATAAATGAAATCAAAATTTTGTTCACTTCACTGATCGCGTTTAATATCACATTACTGAAAGAAAAATCTTAAGATTGCTACAAAATTATATTAAAGTTGAAAAATTAATAGTTAATCAAATAATGGCTAAAATGTTATATATTTTGCTGCTTCCCATCTCCTCTGAATTGAATTTTTGAGCAGCCTACTTGAGACTTACTTTACAGTCCATTTAATTGACTTTTACGCTGGCGTACAAGCCAAAAATAAAGAATATAACAATAAAGTTTTAATGAGCTGCAGTCAAGCGATTGATAAATCGAGCACTTATTCAACGCACATAATGGACTTGTTTTTTATTTTCCATCCCCTCTCAAATTTTTTTCACAATTATTCTTTTCATTCGACTGCACGCACGGCCCATTGTGGGTGTGAGCGGCAGATAAATTTATCACCGGGCCAGTCTTATTTATACACAAATCCGGCGCTATTAAATTAGGCGTCAAGTTGGGCTGATGTTGTTTTTATTGTGATCGCGCCGTTCGAGCAGTCACTCCGCCGCTTTCCGAATGACTGACTGAACGAACGCTGCCTTTCGGCTGCCCCTCTTCGGCTGACGGGTGCCTTATTTACTGCGCTGCTTGGATTTATTATGTGGCACCGCATTGTTTTCAATTGGTGACTATATAAGAGGTTGAGCTGCTTTAAATTTCAATTAAGATCACAAGTAAAGATTTATATTGATTTTATACTTTTAATACATGTTTTAGAGACCAAACTATAAATATGTCGGTAAAGAGATAAATTTCTAGCAAGTATAAAAGCAGCCGCATTATTTTAAATATGCTTGCATGGCACTTTTTATTACTTATCAATTAAGCAAATTCAATCAACTCTATTAATATTATAAATATTCAAAGATTTTATAGCTTATATAACTAGTTTTACCAGAACTTTTGTGCTTTTTTGTATTAATTATGAATAAAATTTATCAAGCGGATTAAAGTAATTACTTTCTTGTGTCACTCTAAAGAGAAAAAAATTTAATCTTCATTTATTGTTGCAGTAATAAATACACATTATAGACAATACTAAAATTTATATGCTTTCTTTTAATAAATTTAATTTTGTCAAAAAAAAAAATAACAGTCAACAACAGGTGATTGCCTGATTGGACAAATTTGATGAATATGTTTTCACGTTTAAAAAATTTAATTTCATTAATGTCATAAATCAAGTAAAATTTGTTATAAAAAAGTATAATAAATTAATGAAAACAAGTAAATAAAAAATATTCTTAAATTTAATAATATTAGATTTTTTGATGTACATATTATTTTTAGAATATCATACGGGAGAACAACACGCGGAAATGTAGCAAAACCATCTCAGTCGGCAGCATAAGTACAGATTGGCAAGGCTTGACCGTTTTCAAGGCGAAATAGGAACATAATAATATTAACAGTGGCAGGGGGAATCGTTATATTTATTTTGCTGGTGTGCCGCGCCGTCGAGAGCTGCTTTGAACCAAGGATGGATGGGTGTAATTTAAATAATTGTTTTTATATTTGATTCTAAGAAGTGTAATAAAAGTGCTCGTTGCTGCCGCGCGCGGACACGGGAGCAGTGCAGAAAAAAAATGTAATTAGGCGCGCCTGAAAAAATTAAATGGCGGATATTTAATTATTTCGGTTTGGCCGCCCGTTGATGAAAATAATGGCTCCTGGGCTTTGGCAAAAATTGCAGCACACCACCGTGCAATTACGTAATGCTTGAGTGTTTTATTGTCGCTCGTGGTATGAAAAGTGAAAAAATATGGCAAAGGAATTTCTGTTTCCGCTTTTTTTCGAGGCGAGAAACATGCGTTCGATGTCGCGATAAATATCCCCGCAGTGCGCGGTGTTAATCTCGAGCTAGCACACTTTGTATAGCAACGCGGCTGAACTGAATCACTTTTTAGTTTTTGTACAGTACTGGCTGATTTTAAATTTAGACCGCAGACATGGTTTAACTTCCCTTGAATGCTTGTAGGAACCAAAATGATAACGGATTAACACTCTTTTTTATTTATTTGTCAGTTTAATTAATTTTCTTTTATAATAATCTTTCAATGAACCCTAAAATATATTTTGCTTAAATCTACTTAATGAGGAAATGCTAATTAAAATGTTAATATTTTGATTTAGAATAACCAGATCTGTGCCAATTTGTGTTATTTTCTGTCCGTTTCCAATTTATTGTGGAGGGATGGCGGAATAACTATTTTTGTTTTATGTAATAATTTCTTTTAATAATATATCGTTTTTTGTTATGTACACAATGAAATAGATAATAATTACAAAATTAGTATGTAAAAGTCCTCAGATTTTGCAATTTTTTTCTCCAATTTTCTTTTCATCTCCGCGTTTTCTATTTTTGTGGAAATAAATTAAAGGATCTATCCCTTAGGTTTCATCTTTACTTTAACTTTTTCGTTTTCCTACAACTGGGAGTGGCACTTGAAGCTCGATTTTTCACCTGTCACCGCGACGATCCACGTTTGCTTAGCCGAGACTCGATTTAATCCTCGCACGCAATTTAATCAGAGCTGAATTAATTGCGCGATTTGATTTGATAAATTCGAACAATGGTGCCCGCTCACGACGCTCGCTCGAGAGCCGTCTGGCGTGATGCATCGCTTTCTAACTAGCTGCTCTCTAATATGTCACATTCTTCAAGTCCAAGGCGGCACTAATTCCACCCCATAACTCACCACTCAGACCCACGGAGCACGGCTTCCTTTCACTCTCTCCTGCTTACAAACACCGAATTTGATATAAAAAGGGCGTTTTTTTGTTTAACTAAAGTAAAACAAATTCAAAATTAGATTATCCTCTTCCTTTGAACTATTTTATTTTCAAAGCTTGTGCTTTGATTTGAACACAATGAGTCAAGATTCATGGCGGTTTTTGTTGGGATTAATAAATTAAGTCGTCCGCCGAGGTTGTTTGCGGGGATTTGTTGCGCGGAGGTGAGAATTTATTCGATGGAATTTGCTTTGTTTATGCGGATTTCTTGCCTTGCGGCTCTTCACTTCCACAGAGGCGTGGCAAAATTAATTTTATCTTCTTGACGTGAGGTAAAATATTATTATCATTCTTTTTTTCTTTGGAATATTTATTTTGAGACGCTAGAATCATAAATTAGAAATTATTATTCTCTCAAAAGGAAATTTGCGATTTTTAAAACTGAAACCCAACGAGGAAAAATAAAATTTTTTAAAGAAGGAGCAGAGTCTTCTCTACTGAAGTGATAATATCAGGTAATTGTTGTGTGGTAATCTTTGAGGCAAAACTAGTTTAAATGGGTAAAAAAAAACATGCTAGCCCCCAGTTTTGATTGCTTCCATTTTCTTTGAAGGATTTTGCTTTTGAGGAAAATTTATCTGCATATTTTTTACCATTGAATCATTCTAATGTGAGTCTAACCTTTTAAATTTCATACCAGATGTTTCATTTCTCTTAAAAATTAAAAAAAGTCTTGCTTTACGATTATTTAAATTATTTTATTACCAAAATCAGAGGGCAAATTTCATATAAATTGGGATAGTTAAAAGTTGTTTTATATCAGTTTAAATATAGTTTTCTCAGTTTCAACACAAAAATTACAGACGAAATTCTATCAATTGATTATAATCCTATTTAAAATATTTTTGAACGAACGTTTGAATTTGATACTACTGAACTATGAATTTAGAATTCCGCGTACTGTCTGTCACTTTGGTGAAGGGATCAAGCTTCAATCCTTTATACAAATGACATTTCTTCTCAGCGAGCCGACAAAGCCGCAGCCGGTTTGTTCTTTTTTTTAAGTGCCTTTGTGCGAGGAACGGCCGCCTCCTTTCTTTCTTTCTCTTTATTCATTCTTCTCGGTTTTTGTGTGTGAGGGGCGGCCAAAAATAGGGCCGTCGTGTAATAAAATGCTCTCGTTGCACGCAGGCTGATTGGGAAAATAAATATTTATCTAATGACAAACCAGAAAGAGATGATATATTTATATAGGAGGCGGCCGGCCCTCACTTTATTTCCCCGGTGGAAAAGGCCTCGATCGTTTGAACTGCACATTAAAATTTAATAATCAAAACAAATGGAGAGCAGATGGGGCCGCATTAAAAACGACTCTTTATGCGCGCACGCTCATTTTAATGGCTCCTTTTGAGATCGCCCTCCACACACTATTTTTTCTCTTATCACCCGCGCATCAATCCGAGTGAGTGGTGCGGTTTTGCCATAAACCCCGGCCGTAATTGAGGTTTAATTATAGAATTCATTCGGCCCGATTTTATTTATTTTTCATCATAAACCGGCAAGATTAAGTCGCTTCTCAAGAGAGAGAAAATCATCATTTTTGAGTGCGCGCCGCCGGATGAAATTTATTTTGGATTTTACGACGTCTGCACTCCTTGCCGCGAAATTTCAGGTCGACCGCAGAACCATTTTTATTTTATTTTTAATTATATACACCATCTTTTTACATCAAAATGGTTCTCTCTGTCTCTCACCTTGCCAGATTTTTAATTTCCACTTCTTCCATGTTTGCTTTCAGGAACGCCAATCAACAGATTGCCCATCATGGCCAAGCAGGTGCTGGACCTGTACGAACTGTACAACCTTGTCATCGCCAGAGGTGGTCTCGTCGACGTCATCAACAAGAAACTGTGGCAGGAGATCATTAAAGGGTTGCACCTTCCCTCGTCCATCACGTCAGCTGCTTTCACCCTGCGCACTCAGTAAGTCAAAACTGAAGTCTTGATTATATATTTTTAATAATTGATTATATAAACGTAAGTTTGTTGTGCTGCTCTAAAAATTTTATTATTTAATTGTTTTTAAATTCATTTGTGGAAATTTTTCCCTTTTACCAAAAAATTAAAAAAAATCTGTTTCTAATTTTCTAAAATTTAATGAAGTTTTTTTATGGTTTACAATAACCAAAGACAAAGAATGAGCCAACTTCAGTCAGCATCTTATGTTAAGTTATAGTTGTTATAAAAAAGACTATAAGCGAATTTGTATGGATTTGTTCCTATGTACATTTAATTTGTGCCATTGTTTCTTAAAGGCAGTTGAATTATTTGCATGATTTGCACGGAAAGAAGCTGTGATTTAAATGCTTTTTGGGAACTTGCATAAATTTTTACAAATCGTTCATGCACCGCCGCTAATTTAAACCTTTTAATTACGATAATATTTTTCATTTTCAATTCGCCGCTGCCAAACAATATTCACGATCATCACGCGCCTCTGCATCCGCGTCTAATTTTTGCCCCCGAGTAAATTCACGATCTGATAATTACACACATGCCAAACGCATACAGAGAGAAAAGAAATTCGCGAAATCGGCGATTTCGCCGAAATGCTCTGGCAATATAAAAAAACGAAGATAATTTTTCTTCTTATCCTTCGCCTTGGGAAAAAAGAATTGAATGTGAAATTTTCAGCAGCATAATTATACGCAGGTATTAGTGTGTACACCTGACGGTGTTTTACTGCGCTTAATTTCACTTTTAATTAGTGGCGGAATTTAAATACTGGACCTGTTTAAACTAAGTTCAGGTGCTTTTTAAAAAATATAAAAAATTAAAATTATAAAAATATAAATGAGCAAGATTTGATTAGAATTTGTCATGTATCAGATTTATACATTTCAAGAATGACAAATTTGGAATTTTTATTTTAGATATTGATATTATCCATTGATATTTTTATAGAATTTTAAATCAATAATTACAAAGAAAAAAAAGGATGAAAATAATATTGAACTATAATTTGCTAATCAATTAATTTGACCGTTCCCTGCGCACAATAATTTTCGCAATGTCAAAATCTAGATTAGAATCATGACAATCGAATTGCTAGCGGCGTGAGTCACCCACGTTGGAAAAAGATGAACCCCTTTGGCTCACCTCCCGAACAAATAATCCGCGTGCTGCTCTACGCGGGGAGTCGAACGAAACACAGCCAATTTCTTCGAGCCGAATCAGACCTCAGATGAAAAGAGCCCAATTTCATAAAACAAAATTATGCGCCTTCGCATTTACGACGGATTTATTTATTTTCCTCTTGTTGCGGCGCAGCGAGACGAAAAAAGACATAAATTATATTTTTATCTTCGGCGGCCGTTAAGATGAAAAATAATGACGCGGCCAATCATCAAAAAATAATTAAATTTGGTGGCCCCAATTATGACGAGAGACATTTCTTGTCGCCATTAAAATACGGAGAGAGTCTCTTTGGAAAAAAATATCGTTTTTTGATTTTATATATGCGTGCGTCGGATGTTGTCGGTCTCTGCGAGCGTGTGTTTTATTTATTTCGGTGCTTTTTCACGGTGCACAATAAATTATTGGTGACGCCAGCAACTAATTTGGCCGACCGAGAGGGGGATGATGATAAACTTCGGATTAATTTGAAACACTTGGTGTGGTGTGAGAGTGGCGTTTTTTATCGCCTCTCCTAAAATAAATATGCCGCGCCGCCGTGTGATTTTTAATTTATTGCGCTGGAGAGAAGACGAGGGTCCTTTTCTTGCTCTCAATGAGAGTGAAAAAAATCGGATGCAGACGCAGACAGCGTAAAAAACAAACGTGGGATTTATTAATTATTCCCAATTAAGCACTGAGGAATTCAAATGTAAGGAGGCAAATTATAATCATACCTAAATTTAAACTTATAAGGTGACGGTGGCAATGTTTAAGAGGAATGAAAAACTCATTTTCAATTTGAAAATTTTCAAAATTTATTTTGTAAATAGCTTCGAAAATTGAGATCAGTAAATTTTTAGTAAAATATTTCAAAGCACTCAAATGTTCATTATTTAGCTGGAAATATGAATAATAATTTCAGATAAAAATAATAATATAAAATAAGCATTCAGCAGCCAAATCTTTTGAATATTTTAATTTTAAGAATAAGAAAGTTAAAAAATCCTAAATATTTCATTAAGAATCTTGAATCTCAACTCTTTCACAACACACAAATTTTGAACCCAAAATAAATCACGCGGTTGGTCATCAATATCCAATTAAAACCGGCAAAAAGTGATCACGAGGACATTAGTGTTTGGTAATTAAGAGATAAAAAGCCTCTTTTTCCACCTCTGGCACTAATTACCGCTGCACAGTGAAAGATCGGGATGAGACAAAAGAGTAGCACAAGGGCCGGTCGCGGTTATTTCGGTGCGTCGCTTTCATAATTATAACAAGGGCGAGCGACACGCGGCCTTTCTTTCCAATCGGTTGACATGCGGCACCGATATAAAAAAAATAAAGTCGCAGACAAGCCTTCAGAGTCATCATCGCACTCATCAAAAGCAAATCTATTTTGCCCGGCCCCCGTCCAATAATAGCACCTGCAGGTGCCAAATGACGACGCTCTCTTTGACGGGCTGACTGATGAGACGGACCCGATTCGCAGATTACAAATGGACCGCGCACAAATTGTATTATTTTTAAATCAGGAAAAAAAGAAAGGATAGAGCTGTAGCGTATTTTCTAATTATCTCTCTAGTCGCGGGGAGTTTTCGAGATCTTTCAACTTTTATCGCCGCGCGTGATACTGACGTGAATATTAAAATTAAATTTTACTGTTGCTTCATGATGGCAACCATGTGGCCGCAAGTCTCTCTAAATTTAATTTTATTATTCCGCTCGCCGCCGACGACGTGGGGGTGGATTTATTTTATTGAGACGGCCTGCCTGAATGATGACCTCATAGACCGTTTTACGTGACCTCTGTCGAGGAGAAGAAGTCTACGGAAAAACCTTAAAACTGTTGGCTGAATTGAAAAAAAAGGAATGTGAGAAGAAAAAAAAGAAATTTTCTGACCTTCTTCGAATCAAATGGAATTTGAAAAACTCTAGTTTTTATTTATAATATAATAAAAGATCACAATTTTTAATGTTACTTGTTGTACACATTCAAATCATCATTTTATACTGTTTCAAAAGCGAGTTTTTTACTTGATTTCACCTGTACTTAAAAAAGGCTAGAAAATAAATTGTTTTAATGCATTGCTTTTGTTTAATTCTTTTTTAATTTGAATACAATAATTGCATTTTTCCTATTTGAAAATGTAACTTCGAGGTTTTTTTAAACTTCTATCAATTAAAAAAAAAAATTAATAGCCATTTTTATTCTGATTGACAGGTATATGAAATATTTGTACCCATACGAGTGTGAGAAGCGTTCCCTGAGTTCGCCGACGGAGTTGCAGGCGGCAATCGACGGCAACCGGCGCGAGGGCCGCCGCAGCAGTTACGGCACCTACGCAGAAATGGTGCAGCGCAGCCCCGGTTTGGGCGCCGTCGCCACCAGCCTCGCCCAGCAAATGTCACCCCTGAGCCTGGTGACGGCCGCGGGGGGCCGCCCCACAATGAACGGTGGTGGCGTCCACCACACGCCGCCGCACCCCCTCAGCCTAGGTCAGTACCAGGATCTGGCAATGATGGGTTCCACTGCACCTCGTGGTTTGTGCACTTTGATCACTCTAAAAATCATTAAATCAATTTACACGCTTGCAATTTGCTAATAAATTTATTTGTTTTGAATTGCAGGGCCGGCCAATGGTTTGGGTCCAGCCGAATTCGAAGCTCGGATGGCCGAGTATGTGAAACTTTTGGACAAAGAACTCAGACGCACTGCTTCCACCCCTCCTGCTGGCAGACAAGGTAAAAAAATCGAGTTAAATTAATTTTAATATTTAATTTTTACTTAAATTGAAAATCCGCTGTGAGGAAATGGATTTCATTAATAATTTAAACTAGGTGTTAAAAAAATAAAATTATAACTATGGACTTTTAACTGCTGCTAGTTTGTTTATTAATCCTTGTGCCACAATATAGACTTGTAATTGTTTTAATATTATAAAATATGTACGAGAAATAATTTTTTAAAGTTTTTCCATTATTTTTTTTTTAACCAATTTTAAACTTGTTTCAATTCACTTATATTCCATTTTTTATTATGACTATTTTTAAATTAACAAAATTTACAACTTAACTAAATCTTATGAAATTTAAAAATAAAATGATGGTCCATAGAAAAAACTGTTTGCAACAATATAAATTTAAAAAAACAATTTGATACTTTTTACTATGTTTTATAATTGTGTATAAAAAATTTCAAATTTTCATCACATTTTTATCTTAGCGTTCCCTTTTTTAGCCGGACCAAACTCACCCCCACCCTCCACGTCGCCGCGTGAGGCCCTGAACGCCCTCGAAATGTCTCGGCTGACTTTGTGGAACCTGTACCACAACTCCTTCCCAGAAGACCCTCGCACCCCCGTGCCGCCTCCACCCCCTCAGCGTGAGGCCCTCAACCTGGAGGTGTCGAGGCAACAGCAGGCTGCGGCAGCTGCCGCGGCCGCCGCTGCGGCCGCCGCCGAACAGGCGCGCACCATTGAGGCGGCCGTCAAGAAGGAGGCAGTCGAAAACGGGCCGAATCCTCCCAAGAGGCCGCACATTGCTATCGAAGAGGACCTACCCCAGCACACTAAACTTCCCTCACCTGTTGCCGCTGGCGTGCCAGGGGCGGCGAACATCAAAATCAACAGTCGAGGTAATTAACTAATTTTGATCAGATATTTTTTTTTATTAATTATATTTTTTTTTTAATTACAAACAATACATATTATATTAACTTGTAAATATAGTTTATGCAAAAAAAAATTAAATTATGTTTTTAAACTATATTTTAATTTTTTTCATTTACTAATCACGTATTGAGTTTTATCATGTTTATATTTAAAATTATTTGATTTTATTAAAACTAATTGCTTATTTCCACCATTGACATTACAAGTTATCAATTTGGTATGTACTGTGAATAATCTTAAAAAATTAGCAAAAATGACAAAAATGATATTTGCAGCTAGAATTTATTTAGACAAACTTTTTATTGATACAAATTGTGATTTTTTTTTCTAATGTTGCACTTTTTGAATTTTTGCAGGTGATGCTCGCGGTGAGAATTCCTCTCTGGTGGTGAGCATGGAGATCAATGGAGTGATGTACCAGGGCGTGCTCTTTGCCCAGGTGCCGGCCAGAAACGCGGGCCGCATCTCAACGTAAAGTCAAGCAGTTAAGCAATTAATCGATAATTAACTGTTGAGTTATCCACCAATTCCCACCCTCATCAATTTCCATCAATTGTACTTTTTGTTCCGAGAGTGTGATCCGTTCTTTTTTCGCAAGCAGACAGTTCAGAGACCAGTTGTTAGCAGATGAATGCGCGTGTGCATGTTCACTTGGGGTAAGAAATTTTTGAAAATTAACATAATCACCGTTTCGTGTCTCAAAATAGATAAATGTTAAATTTTAAAAGCGGCTGCGTCGCGCGCAGTTGAGAAAATGTGCCAACAGCAGCTTTATTGTTTGTTTTTTTACACTTTGTTGCATTTAAATTATGGTATAATTATTATCATATATTACTTCAATAATATTGCACGTAGGAATATTATATTATTTATGTTTGTGCTTTAGGGATTTGATTTATAAAATTCTTTCTCATAGCTGCTGAGGAATACATTGATATTCGCATAAAGACTTCAGCTGAAATCTAAAAAGCAGAAACTTTTTCGAATTTTTCCCAGTCAATTTGATTTCTTTATTGGGACTATACAATCTGCCAAAGTAGAGTTTATAATTACTCAAATATAAAATGGCAACGGACTTAATAAATTAGATTTGATGCACATATGAGCTGCAAATGCAATTTTTTTTAGTCTGCTTGTTGGTTCCGAAGATATTTTTCTTTCTGTTTTGTAGTTTGTAAAGGCCAATAATTAAAATGATTTACGAAGTTGAAAATCAAAGTCAGTCTGCCATTGTGTAGGTATATTATGAGTTCGCTGTAAAATTTGCTGGGGTGTGCAATTGTAGCCAAGCAAATAACAACTTATGTATAATTGTAAGTTAAAATATCTATCCACTTTCTGTAAATATTCAGTATTGAGAAATAGATCGTCCTTCGAAAGCAGCTGATAAAAATAATAATAAATTATGAATGTGTACTTAATGATATAGAGGAACGAATTTCAAACGCGAGAAAGACCTTTTACAGGATAGGAGCTCAAAATGATTGATTTTGACTTTTTCTATATATATATGAAGAGTTAAAACATTTAGTTAGGGATTTTTAAATATAGCGCACATGAGCAAAGCAAGTTCGAACTTTAAACTAATAATATATAATTTCTTAAAACAAAATAAAATCCGATTGATTATTTCTATATATTTTTGTAATTTCAACGCCAAAATTTTGATTTTTGGAAGCACGTTTTGCTTGACTATAGCGGTGTGTGATCTCAAATGGACGCCAAAACACGCGAATACCTTCACTCGAATTTTGATTTTTATTCCTCTGCAACAAATCCCTGACTACCGCGCAAAATCATACTGAATTCTTTTTTTACTCAGGGATTGATCAATGTAATTATTGAAAAATCAGTAGAATGTTTCTCATTTGTACTCTTTTTTTTCACCAACTGATGCATCGTGCGGCCAATTACTGGTCGCTTTGCTATGGATATCAAAATCAAGAGGGTTGATGTAAATGTGCATTATTTAAAACGGATTAGTTTCAAAAATTATAAATTTATTAGTTGTGAGAGATTCTTTAACATATAAATGTGTATCATAATGCAGTAGCCGTAGAAGAATCTCTTTGTTGTCAAAAATCAGCAAAATTATTCACTAGTTTATAAATGATAAAATGTTTTCCAACCATATCGTAAATAATAAAATTTAAATGTACATACAATTTTAGTGAAGAAGTATAATAAAAATCATAAAAATACAGAAAAAAATGTATAATTTTATTTCACTTGTACAGAACTTTGCAAAATCCTTTCAGTCATCATCTCAAACAAAACTCAAACCACGTCTAGTCATCGTTGACATCAAAACTAATTGTCTCATGGGGAAAATCTTTTTTAAATACCTCAATATCAGCGCCTAGGCTGATCAACATTTCAAAAAATTCCTCGTTTTTCGCTCTAATGGCTCCGAGAAGAGATAGGCTCAATAACTTCTGTTTCAGCTCAGTTGGCGCTTTTGCCAAAATCATGTTCACTAAATCCTCCCGAGCCTTTCTGGCGGCTTGAGTGATTGGAGCATACTCGTCGTGTACCAGTAAGGTTGAGGCGTACATCAAGGAAGAAGTATCGGCGCCACGTTCTAGGAGATATTCAACCATACCTGCGTGACCTTCCTCAACGGCGAGGGACAAAGGTGAGATGCCAAATTTTGTTTCGGCGTTAATATTAGCTCCTTTAGAAAGAAGAATTTTCGCGGCTTTTAATTGTCCCTCTTTGGCTGCTTTGTGCAGAGCAGTTTCTAATGAGTAGACCATATAATTTACGTCTGCGCCGTTTTTTAGCAACATCTCTATCAAATCATGATCTCCACCCTTCGCGGCGGTGTATAAGGCGGGACTAGGATTGGCTCCATTGTCAATTAAGAGTTGAATGCATTTCATGTATGCATTTTTATCTTTGGATGCTGAAACTAAGGCAATCTCCACGGGAATATGATAGAAAGGTCCGTCTTCGTTTGCTTGTGAATCTTCTTCGTGCAAGGTCTGCGCCGTCTGAGGACGCTCATGAGGCCAATGTTGTCTTTTCGTTAAACACTCTGATGATTTTTCAGCCATAATGATAATAGGTTTCGTTTTATTTCCTGCCATGTCCTCGAAATCCATGTCGGCGGATAATCCGTCTTGTAAGAACACCTCTATTGTATCAGCCAATTCTTCGAGCATATATGAATGGTGAGCCAAACACTTCCAGAATGCACGCTTTTTTACGAGCAATGAATAGCATTTGAGCTGCAGCAAGTATCTCAAACACTCGACCGCGCAATACATGGCTGACTTATCCAATGCACTTACACGAAATCGGTCGTTATTGTCTCCGTACTTACTCGTGCTTAAACAATGTATATTGGCTCCATCATTCTTGAGTTTTATCAAGATATCCAAACATTTTGAATAACCAGCAGCATAATGAAAAGCAGTTTCACCGTTTTTATCCACTCTGTCAATGTCTACAGAATTTTGCAACAGAAATTCTACGCAAGCCAATTTATTGCTCCAAACAGCAAGTTGTAGTAAAGTGCTTCCACGCTCTTTTGTTACAGAATTTATATTCGCTCCGCACTCCAAAAGTATTTTTACGGCCTCAACACTTCCATTTTCGCATGCAACTTGAATCGGAGTGTACCCATCAGTACCCTCAACATTTATATCTATGCGAGCATCATTGTCAATCAAATATTTCATCAGTTCAATGTTTCCATGACAAGCTGCAAAGTAAAGTGGGGAGACGTTTTCTGAATCTTCTTGCAAGTAGGGATCTTCAAATGCACCATTCATTAAATATGAAACCATTTTGACGTTGCCTTTCTTCGCTGCAATCCTCAAAGCTCTTTTCCTCAGAGATAATTTTACACTGTCAGGTAATGTTGGTTTTGTTATCAATCGTTTGACGCAATCTAAGTTATCCTGCTCAGCTGCAATGTCTAACGGCGACTTCCCATTTCGATTTTCATCCACAATCATCTGAGGCACCACCATCATGATCTTATCAATAACCTTTTCGAGCCCTTTTTTAACAGCAAGGTGCAGAAGCGTATCTTTTTCCTCAATGTGGCAACGCTTGGGGTCAAGCAACTTGATATCTGCCCCTAAGTTCAACAGATGCAAAGCCAGTTCTTCATCATTAGAATAGCATGCTGCATACAGGGGATAGTATTGAAAGTTTTCGCCACGATATTTGTAACAGTAGGGCGTGTTGATTAACGCAGGAATGTTTTCAAAAGTCTCTCTGTATTCAGACTCGAAAAATAATTTAAAGAGCCTTGCCAAGCCTTCCTTGCACACGTAGGATATTAGAATAGCAGATTTACTTTGTAAATCATTTTTCTGACAGCATTCATCAAGTTTAGTCTTTTGAATTTTGGATTCGCTGTCAGAACCTACGAAGAATCCATCGATGAATAGCCGCACCTGTTCAAATTGGTTTCGTAGAAAAAGGTCACTCAAATTTATATCGTCAACATTTTCCAGGTAGCATTCGCAATCTTCGTTTGTATAGTGGCCGGCTTTTGTGAGAAAAAACATGCTGATAAGATATTCGGCATAGGTTTGATGTTCAAAAATGACAAACACCTCGCCATCTTCACTAGTAATAGACGCAATTCCGAGTTGATTAATTTGGCGGATATCCTTTTCCATTTTTACGGACAATTTTAGTTCGGGGGATGGCAATTTTTCTCGGTAAACGCAATTGAAAGCAGCCACCATTAGCAGTTCTACGCTTCGTTGAATTAATTCATAGTAACCCCTCTTGCTCTTGTCCGTTCCGTAGGTTTTATTTAAAGCGGAATCCAATTTGGAAAATAAAAACTTGTGGTAGAGAGACGATATGCTCATTCCTTCTACCACATCGTCGGCAATTTCAGCTATCATTTTCAATTGAAGGGGGGTTCCAGTAAAGGGAACGCCGTAATCGTTGTTGGGTTTGAGTTTTGATAAGAGTTCCTCGCACTCTTCGGCGTTTTTGAAGAGCATCGTTCTCAAAAGATTTAACTGCTCCTCGCGGCTCATGGGGCATATTTTCAATTGGCTCAGTTGAAAATTTTTTTCGATTATTTTGGATAGCTGGTGAGGACGAGATGCGACCCATAGGCACAGTTGCTTTTCATAGATTTCCGTCAAAAATTGTAGAACGACATCTTCATAAGTCAAAACTGAATCATAGCCGTCAACAAGCACCACAATTTGCTTTTTGACAAATTTTTCCTCAAATTGAGCAAGATCGCTTCCATTAATTTGCGAGGCTTTTTTCAGAAAATCACGCACATCCGCTGTATCAGCACCATTCGTTTGAACATCTTTCAAATATTTGCATATACGCATCAATGAGAAATTGATAATTTGAAACTCCGGGAGCAAGTCTGCCAATGCTTTGGCCATTTCAATGGTCGCAGCCAACTTTCCATATCCTGCGGCTGCATTGATTAACCAAAAACGATTTCTCCCTTCCTCTTGAGACTGATCTTTGGCTGATTCTGCGATCTCGTGACTCAATTGATCAAACGATACATTTTCATTTCCACGAGCGAAAGAAGGCTTAATGTACGTATTTTTGCACGGAGAAAAATCTAACAAGTTGTGCAGGGTACTTGAAACTTGCGGTTTAATTTGACCTTTTGAAGTTGCATCATCGTCGCCCGCGCGAATGACATTGACGACGGCCTCTTGTAAACTCAATCCGCATTTTAGCTGGGGATTTCGCAGCCCATTGATTAATCTAGTAACGATATTTTTTCCATGAGGCTGTCCAATTCCGACAAATGTAAAGATTTCTGCGTGATTGTTGGATGGAACTTCCCAATCCCTGTCCGTCTGCAATTTGGTCCGAAAAGGTATTTATATGATGTTCAAAATAAATGTATTATTTATAAAAATCTTTTACCCGCGCAACATGACGATCATCTTCTTGGCCACCATTGTCCAAAAAGAAAAACAACTTTGGTTTCCCAGAAAGATCCTTACAGTTGACACCTATCAGTGGTGTGATCAATTCATTCACTGGTTTCCTCAATTCATCTGTGCAAATAGTGAGTCCGTCATCTTTATTGTCAATCAGACTTGCCATAATGCACACGGCAAAGCAGCCTTCCTCTTGCAGACCGCAGTCATTTGCATTGGAAACTTTTTTTAATTTTGTCTTTAATTAAAAAAAAAAACAGAAAATTGAATTTTTACCTTTTTTCAAGACACATTCCAACTGCTTGATCCCATATGTCTTTGTTTCAAATTCAAGGAATAGGAAACTCTTTTTCGCCTCTTCTGCCTTTTTTGAATGTTTCGAGTCGTAGAAAATAAGCGCGCGGCCTCTTCGAAAGAGGAGGTCTTCGCGTGATTTCCAAGGATAAAAATCTTGGCGCTCCTCACTATCAGTGCCAATTTGCTTTGACTCTCCGCGTTGATTTCCACGAGGACTAACTTGCAGGGGATAAGTTCTTAAAATATGTATATTATTATTAGTTATTAGTTGTATTTTTTTTAATTTAAATCAAAAATATCTTTTACCCGTAGACTGTGAATTTCTTGTGCTTGAAAATATGCAGCTGCGGCGTTTGACCAATAAAGGTGTTATGTTTCGATGTTCTTAAACTGATTTGTTTTTGAACCCTCGTTAAGAAAATGGTGAAGTCGCAGTTTTTGCTCATTTTGTTAAGTTCTTTGCAAAACTCATGCACAAACCAGCTACCCTCATGCGAGTTTCGCTGAGCTTTTGTTGCTGTAAAATATATATATTTTGTAATTATATTAATTAAAATTAAATTAATAAATTATACATTCAACTGCAGAATAAAATATAATAAAATTTTCGCAGTTAGGGCCACTTGATCCCCATATCGGCACCTCCCTGTTTTGCTCGTCATCTTTCTTTAGAGGTTTCTCAATATTTGCGCCCAGAGTTGGCAGTCTTAACTCTTCATTTGAACCCCTGCACGGCTATAAAAGGAAAAAATCACGTTGTGAAATTATTTGGTTTAAAACCCTCAAAAAATATTACCCCAAAGAAAAGCACTTTCAAGCACTTCTGGAGGCATATCATTCCTGCTAGACCTTCCCATACGTCCTTTTGATAGTAGATCTCACAATCATTTGTTGCTGGGTCAATATGGTCTGTTTCAATGGCACCACCACTTCTCCCGTGAGAGAGGATGAACACAAAAAGAACCGCTGGTGCGTCATTCTGAGAATCTTTTTTGTTTATGACATTACATAAATTATTTCAATTAATTTAAGATTTAAGTTAGCTTACAATCTGCTTTTCCAGTGAAAAGTTGAAATAAGTCATCCTGGTTAGTTATTTTTGAGAGAATGCTATTTCTCGTGTTTGACTTCAAATCGACAAATACGCAATTCCTTCTCGTGAAAGTTGCTCTCAGGTTCTCTATGTCTTTGTCGTTTCCCACCCTTGGGTCCTCATGGTTTTCAAACCCATGATGGATTACGAGCACCCATGTTCTGAGAGTAAGCAACAGTTATTATTTAGAGTTATAGCGACAGAAGATAAAATATACAAAATTGTGTCATGAAAATAAATAATAAAATTCATATCTAGATTTATAAACATAAAGCACTCTTACCTGGCCGGTGTGTTTTGATCGTCTAAAATATAGCCAAAGTTAATTAAATTATTGGATGACATAATATAACAAAAGGTCATATCATCCTTGAAACAAAATATTTAAAAGGAGTTTGCTTGGTTATGCAATTATGAGGAAAGAACACGCCCTTTATATAGCCTTCGTCAAAAAGTCTAAAAAATTTGGAAAGTCTAAGGTCTAACAATAAGTCTACCTTTTATATCTCTGACGAGATGATTCGCGGTTGGATTCGCGCCGTTCGCCGGTGCGACGTTCCGCAACAGCACTCAGGTGGCAGCACTGCCCGCTAAAAGCATCAGTCCGCCTGGCCAGCCAATCAGCGTTCGCCAACTCAAGCCATCGACGTTCTGATTGGTCCAGCTGGCTAGGCTAGCCACGTTCCGCCCGGTGTCTCTCCTTCGTGTCATTTTGTAGCCGAACCCGTCAGATTTGGTCAATTTTCCGTGCGTTTTGAGTCGGCAGAGATGATTTTGAAGACTGCACTGCTGTTGGCCTGCGCCTGGACGGTGTGCCTGGCCGGCGAAAAGGACGTCCTCGAGTTCACCGACGACGATTTCGCCACTCGGATCGCCGAACACGATGTTGCTGTGGTCATGTTTTATGCCCCATGGTAATTCGATTCACTCTTATCGCCTCTTTTCACTGATAAACGCACTTCGGGAGGCCGGTTAATTGCTTTCTGCAGAAATTTTACCCTGCTTTAGGCATTGAATGACCGATAAAAATTGAAACATCTCAAATTTCATTGAAATTTAAGCTCAAATGTTTCACTTATACTGTTGCTCAAAGCTCCAACCAGTCACTTTTTTGCAGCTGAATTAATTTGAATGAGAAGTTTGCTTGCCTCTAATTTTTAGTTCGTGTTCAAATATTTTTGTTAAAAATTCATTACCGTAATTTCGCGGTAAAAATAAATTTTTATTGTAAAGGAAATATGAAAGAACAGGTTTAATTTTAAATTATCCGGGTATATAATACATACGCGGAAACCAGGAAAAATTAATTAATTATCTTAACTCTACGTTTTATTGTCCTATTAATTATTATTATCTTTTCAAGTTTAATCCCCAATTATAAAATTCATGATTTTTGTTTATAAAGCTTCTTTATCATTTTTTTTAATAACCCCTGTGGGCGCCTGCATGAAAAGTGAAAAAAAATCCCACCGCTCGGCATCTGAATCCAATTTCGAATATTTTGCTGCATGACTGCATGTTTAAATAAGTTTTTGAAATACATTTTTATAAATTTTTCTAATGATCTGCCGTAATCAGGTCATAGACGAGTGTCAGGAAGTCCATTTTTGCTGCTGCTTGTCCCCTTTTGTCCCATATTTCTGACAGGAAGCGGATTTTTGGAATTTTCCATCCACATCATTTCGACTCTCATAATCAGACAGTTTGTAATTTTACAAACGCAATACATACCTTAATTGGTGTGCAAAATTTACTAGCTTCTTTCTATCAATTTTATTCAAATTGATAATTTTCCCTCAAAAATTTGCCCATTTGATTAAAAAAACTAATTTTATTTATTATTTTTTGCAGTCGACGAAATATGAAAAAACAAATGTTTACTGTGGCATTTCATAACTTAAACTTTGCAATGCTATCACTTAATTATATTTTTGAAATATTATTTTAATGCAATTCTAAAATATTTCTTCTAATGTTATCAGGTGTGGCCACTGCAAGAGACTAAAGCCCGAATATGAGAAGGCGGCGCCAACCCTGCGTGACAATGACCCGCCCGTGGCCCTCGTCAAGGTCGACTGTACTGAGGCTGGCAAGGAAACTTGCAACAAGCACGGCGTCTCTGGCTACCCCACCATCAAAATCTTCCGGGGCGGCGAAGTGGCCCAAGACTACAGCGGCCCTCGGGAGGCGGACGGAATTGTCAAGTACATGCGCTCCCAGGTTGGCCCCAGCTCGAAGGAACTCAAGAGCGTTGCCGATTTCGACAAGTTCACCAGTAAGGCAGAGGTCGTGGTTGTCGGCTTCTTCAAAGAGGACTCGGACCTGAAGAAGGCCTTCGTCAAGCTGGCTGACATTCTCAGAGAGAGGGTTTCGTTCGGAAACTCTGCTGACGAGGCTGTCCTCAAAAAGGCTGACACCACGTAAGTTAGAAATTTGTTTTTATCAGCAGAAAATTATAATATAACTCATGTTTTCTTTGCAGTGATGGAATCATTTTGTACCGTCCCAAGCACTTAGCCAACAAATTTGAGCCATCGAATCTCAAATACGATGGAGCTGCAAACAAGGATGCCATCGAAAAATGGATCAACAAAAACTAGTATGTCAAAATTTTATGATCCCCTTTTTATTGCTATAATCTATAAATTTTAAATAATAGTACATAATTTAATTAGTTTTCTTTTAAATATATTTGGAAACAAAATTGTTTTAGTCATGGTCTTTGCGGCCACAGAACCCCTGAAAAAGTAAACCAGTTTTTGTGGCCCCTGGTGGTCGCCTTTTACGATATTGATTTCAAACTCAACCCCAAAGGTTAGCCCGGCTGCGTTTGATTTGCATGACTAACAGTTTGTCTTGTGTGTGTTTTTTCTCCCTCTAGCCACGGTCTGGTTGGACACAGGACCAGAGACACCTCCAAGGACTTTGAGAACCCCCTGATTGTTGCTTACTACACTGTTGATTATGCTAAGAACCCCAAAGGTATGCAAATGTGTTTTGTTACTGCTCGCTTTGTTTATTTGATTTTCCGATTTTGCATTTTTGCTCTTAAAATTGATTGAAAAACAAAATCTGATTAATGAAATTATTCAGGAACCAACTACTGGAGAAACCGTATTTTGAAGGTTGCTCAGGAATACAAGGATGACTTTACCTTTGCCATTAGCGCCAAGGACGACTTCCAGCACGAGTTGAATGAGTTTGGTCTTGACTATGTTGCTGGTGACAAGCCTATTGTTTTTGCCCGCGATGCCAAGAACCGCAAATTCTCCATGAAGGAGGACTTCACGTTAGTCTTGCTCCTAAGTTGAAATTCAATTTTTCAAGGATGTATTTCTTGCAGAGTTGAATCCTTCCAGGCCTTCCTGAAGGACCTCAAGGCCGACAAGCTGGAACCGTATCTGAAGTCTGAGCCCATTCCTGACGACAACAGCGGCCCTGTGGTCACTGCTGTTGGCAAGAACTTTGATGATGTTGTCACCAACGTTGACAAGGATGTGCTGGTGGAGTTCTATGCCCCCTGGTGTGGACACTGCAAGAAACTGACCCCGATTTATGATGAGCTTGGAGAAAAGGTAAAAATTTGAGAACGATCAATTTAAATTGAGTGAAAGAGTTGATGGTAAAAACTAATATCCAAATATTTTATAGATGAAGGGTGAGGATGTTTCCATTGTTAAGATGGATGCTACTGCTAACGACGTACCCTCCACCTTTGATGTCCGTGGATTCCCCACTATCTACTGGGTGCCCAAGAATAAGAAGGACAGCCCAGTCAGATACGAGGTACAAAAAATTTTTAAATTTTATTAACCTTCTTCATTAGTCTTTTTAATGGATATTTCTCAACTTAAAGAAAATCATTTGTATTAAATAATTATATTGCTGCTATTACTTATTTCAAATTATATGATATTATTAAATTATTCTCATTTAAAAACAATTTCTTGAAGTTGAAACTCGAATCCCAAATTTTGAAGAATATAGTAACTGATTTTTATTTTTTCTATTTAGGGTGGCCGTGAAGTTTCCGACTTTGTTGAATACATCGCCAAGCATGCCACCAATGAGCTCAAAAGCTTTGACCGCAAGGGCAATGAAAAGAAGAAGGAAGAGTTGTAAATGAGTGTCTGCTCTGGAATGCACATCTAGCAAAGACTTACAAACCCAATTTTTGTCCTCCAAATGATGAGCAATTTGCTATGTAAGAATGTTTGAAGCGTTTCATCTTGTTGATTGTGTGCTGCTTGTATGGATGAAGATAAAAATGATTGAAGTTGATATTTTAAAATTTGTTTCCTCCAATGACAAAACTATCATTATGTGAAAATGCTCCATTCCAATTATTGAAGTTACTACACACAGTTTGATTATTACAAATTGAAGGATCACCGAGTTGGCTCACGAAATGTATTTAATTTTCTCAGACACAAACGTTACATGCATTTTCCGTTGATTTATATGGATGCAGATTGTAACTCTAATCGAGTGTGATTGATACTTATGATTTCCTTTAGCAGTCTTGAAAAAGCAAACCATCTCTCCGTACGTTCACAAAAGATCTGGTTGTGGGAATAATATTTGTTTTTGACAGTACTGGACAATTTTTTTGATATAAAACTGAAAAAAATATGTGTCATCTATCTGTAAATCATAATAAAATTTTGATAGAGTTACAATACATTGGCATTTGTTTGTGAATGAATCACGCGCTGCTCCCTTATTAAAATTAAAGCCCCCCTGCCCCTGTTTGATGTTGCGGTCAAGAGCTTCAGTTGCTGTGAATCACCAGAGCAGAACCAAAAGCGCTAATCACGGAAACTACCCCTATTTCATAGCAACACCAATCGAAGGGGGCGCTCAATTTGTTTATGCTTTTCATGCCAGCGTGTTTTCCCAAGTGTTGGACTTTTTTATTCTTTCATTTCTTTTGCGATGTCTGACGCGAGCGCGAGCAGAAATGCAAAGGAAAAACTTGCAAAACTAAAAACGGAGGAAATGGTGATATCGAAAAGTTGCAAATCCTCCATCAATGCGATCAGAATGTGCGACCAACGGCTGGCTACTGACCTCAGCATTGTGTCAAAGGAACTTGAAGATGCAAGGTTTGTATTTTTTTCACTTATGGGTACCAAATCATGACTTATAATTTTCATAATTCTACCAGAAAATTTGAGAAAAACAAAATTAACAGGGATATAACTGATATATTTGAAGAACTTGCTGCGTTTCAGAATGCTATAAAAAGGGACGACAGCATACTTGATTTCAGTGAGTGTTTAATATTATTACCTTGACATAATTATTCGCAATTTTTCTTTTTAGGTCCACAGTCATGCAAGGAAAAGCTTGTGCAGTTGCAGAATAGGATTTTGCAAACGCGTGATTACTTAGAAAAAGAGTAACTTTATTACGCTATATTTTTTTAATATAATTTGAATAGGAAAATTATAGAAGAAACGTTTTAACAAAAGCGCAAAATTTTTTGTCATCATTTCATGCACTAATTTGGCAGGCTTAAAATCCAGTAGTTCGAAATACACAGAGATGTCTGCTAGATTTTTTTAAACTTAAATAGAATTAAAAATTTTCTATTGTCTTGATGTAAAATTTATTTTTCCTAGAATTTTCATACTGAGAGATGAGGAAAAGGTGCTGTCAGAAGAAGTGCTCCTGGCTCAGCAGAGAATTGAGAATGGCACAAAATTTGACACAACGGCCTCAAATCAATATAAATTTGCAAATGCAAAAGTAACAAAGCAAATAAAAAACTCTCAGTCTGCCAAAGATGAGGTGAGCTTTTACCATAATCATTATAAAAAGATTTAATTAAAATTTTTATTCTTCGATAAATTTTACAGAATATTTCAAATTTTGAGAGATTCGTTGAAAATCACGGGCACACAGGTGGATGGGACGAGCAAGACCACCTCTTATTTCTAAGGATGAAAAGCAAATTTCGCAAACAAGACCTTTCTAAATTTTACAGATCACTTACAAGTCAACTACCAGGCATAGCAACATTTGGAAGTTGAAATGTAAAAATTACTAATTAAATTTATTGAAGATATGACTTCGGAGAAAATAACGCAGCACCTGCATTGGTTTGAAGAGTACGAAAGGCTCAGAGAGAAAAATAAAGTGGCAATACAGCAGTGGCGGGACTCCAGAAGAAGGGAAAATGACAAAGTGAATGAGAAGAAAACTAGATCTCGTAAAAGTTCCACGGCTTCAGCCGAAGAAGCAGAGGGAGAGCAGAAGAAGATAGAAATTACAAAATGGAAGGTATGGCGGCTGAAAATTTATTTTGTTATTTGTTTATTAATTTAAATCTTAAAGAGACAAAAGGAGGAAGAACGAGAACTGCAGGAGCAGAAATTAAAAGAGCAAAAAGAGGCCGAGAGGTTGTTTCAGAAAATTGAAAGAGAAAAACAGGTTTGAATTATTTAATAATGCACAAAGTAATAAAGTAATTTAAAAATTTTAGTTGAAAGTGAGAGAAAAAATATTGACTGTCAGGCAAGAGAGGCAAAGAGCAGAAGAGAGTGCCAAGATTGAAAGGAAACGAATGGAGGAGGAAATCAGAAAAGAAAGGGCAGAGGAAGCTAGGAAGATGATAAAAACATACAGGTTTTAGAAGAGGAAATCATGATTTGAAGCAAATAAAATCATAAAATTTTGTAGAAAACTGGACGACATGCATGTGGAAAAAATGAAACTTATGCGCATTACAAGAAAAGAGAAGAAAGATCCACCAAGAGTACCAGAAATGGTGTCCATTCCGAGAAACCCTGACCGGCTTTTGCAAATGACAGAAGTGTGGAGAGCCAAGTGCAAAATTGACGAGCTTGAGAACAAAACTAAATTCCCGAAACCTGTCATTCACGTCAGGAACATCCCTCATCTGTATAGAAAAATTATTTTCTTTCAAACCTGACAATCCCCTAAAATGCTTTCTTTCACAGAAAAGTTCCGGAGTGGAGAAGAGGAATTAGTTCAACATAAAATTAAATCACAAATGATCTTCTTTTTATTACTTTTTGGCCAGGTTTATTTGATTAAGCGCAGGTTGTTGAGTACAGGAGAAACGCATATCAGTGAAATTGAGGGATTTGCCTCGTAAAAATTTTGCCCAAAAGGCACTCTTTCTCATGCTCTAACTTACTCATCTAGACGTGTGGACCAACTTCTTGTAATCTTAATTATTGAGGACTAACAATAGTATTTCAACAAACAAATCAACCATCAAACATAATTATTATTAATGCTTAAAACTTGAAAACGCAATAAATAATAATACGCATTGAAAACAGTTTTAATTTTGTAAAGTCGTTATTTCGCGCAATCACAAATGGCACTAAACCTTGCTTGCAAGTCTCGCAAATGGGGAATTTAGAAAATGGGTGGGAATTAGCGGCAAAAGTCTAACCTGCTTGGCTCACTGGACCTTGCTCTTGGCCGGAACTGCAATATGCGCCATCAAGCCGTAGAAAATGTTAAAGTGCTGAAATCGGAAACAACACGTTTGAGATTTAATTTGTCAAAAGTTTATAATTTAAAGTATCTTCTTACTTGGATACAAACGTAAGTGATCCCCAGGTATACCACAATGGCAAAGGTCAGGAATAGGTCAAAAACGGCTGGCTTAACACTGTACACGTTTACATTTGCTTTGGTTACATCGTAGAAAGCGAAGTCTGGGTCTCGCTTGTCAGGAATGAGATAAGACACCTTGACGTCCTTCAAGTATCTATAAAAAAAATCAGTTTTATTGTGAGCAATTAATAATAACTGGCCAATTCCGTTTGAATGAAAATTGTCTTCGGCAAATTTACAAAAACATCTCTTGACAGTAACGGAGCAATTTATAGTAATTTATAATCAGTCTATTGCTGGTCATTTAAATTGATTTTACCTGGACAAGATATTTTGAAGACTAGTGACTAGAGGATTCTGTTTGGTAGCTAAGACTTGAGCAGCTCTAGGCTGGGCAACAAGGAAATCCATCACTCCCTCAATGGCAGTCTCATCAATTTTCTGTATTTATTTTTTATTCAGAGCCAATTAATTTCAAAATTTGAATTTCTCACAAGATTCTCTGTGAAGACATCTTCCGAGGACAGGTTATAGATGTACCTTGCCAAGGCCTCGGACAAAACACTTGCCTTCTGAGCAATCGTCTCGATATCTGCAGTCTTGTCCAAAATTGTTGATCTTGCATAGTCTTGATGACTCTGATTTTAATATTTTTTTATTATACTTCAGAAAAATTTAACAAATGATCTTACTTCCAGAGATGAAACGGTGAAGCCTGCAATTCGCTTCATACTGAGACGTTCGTGTTCCCAAGCCATTTTCTTTTCTGCCAAATTAATCTTCTTGTGGATCAGCTCAACATTGACTCCCGGATACAGTTCTTTGGCTGCTTCAGTCAGTTCATGCAAAAACTTTGCAGTGGTTGTTCCTTCCTTGGGTGGTTTCGAATAGTGGATGTAGATGTTCTTAGACGTGGACAGAGTGTCCAGGCAGATCACAAAGTGGGCATTCTAAGATTCATAAATTGTTACAAGATGTTTTTATAACAAACATTTAAAAAAAAAATAACCTGTAGAGGTGATCCGTCAATGCTGTCGATTTGATCCTCAAGCCACTTTTTGGTGCCCTGATAGTTCAATTTGCCAGCTCCGGCCAGTAAAAACATAAGATTGAATTGGGCATGCGTTCGCTGAGAGTTGTAAAGTTGGGAGAAGATTCTGGCAAGTTCAATCAGGACAGCAACGCCAGAACCATTTGAGTCAGCGCCAAAAGCCAATTCCTAAGAAAAGTACGGATCAATGCAAATAATTCTATATATAAAAATTAGGCAACTTTTGAATATTTTTAAATAGAAAGCAAACTCACTGGTGCTACTCCATAACTGTCATAATGAGCAACAATAGCCACAGTTGGCAATTTGTCCTCCATTCCTTGACCGGACAGTTTGCCCTGAATATTTGCCACCGCCACATCCGTCCTGGCATGGGCCTGATGGCTGTTGACCACAATTTGGTACCCATTGGCAGAAACAGACTGCATTAGATCTAAAAAAAAGATTAAAATTAGTTAAGCTTATCAACAATTTTAAGGAGATTACTTTCTAAAGCAGATCCCTGTGCTGGTTGCGGAGTGCTTGTGGTGGTCGTGCTCAGATCGGACAGCACGTCATCCATCGAGGGATTCCAGTGAGTGAAGTAGACAGGAATTGAGACCTCCTGCTCCATCATCAGGTCTTCAAGCTCCAAAATATTCTGAAAATATTACATTTTGTGTATAAATACTAATAAGTTTATAAAATATTTTGGTTAAAATTACCTGTCTGTCCTCGATGGACAGAGCAGTTAAGTCAGAGGGGAGCACTACGATTAGGGCACCAGCCTTTTCCGCAACGTCCCTGAACTGTTCGATGGTCAGGTCCTGGATTTTGGCTATCACACAGTGTCGAGCACTGCTCCAGGTGTTCAGAGCCCTGGCTTCAATGTTGATCGGAGCACTGCGACAACCTTAAAAAATTGAAGGGGTTAAATAATTTATACATAACTTGTTTCTCTAGTTTTAAGCATAAATTAATTTTTGATTATGCTCACAATAAATTAGGTGTTGATTGTGAAAAATTTTGACTTATTATAATGGCAAACCTTCAGATTAAAAGTAAAAAAGTTAAATCATTCAATACACATACATAATTATAACAAATTATTTTTTCTAAAAATAATAATAACTTTACTGCCAAATTTTTTTCCTTTGATGCTCAATAATTGTTACGCATGAATGGAGTATTGTGACTCTATGAAATCTAAATTTAGCTCGACTTAATATGAAGAAAAACAAAAGTTAATCCGATTAAAAGGAAGCACCACAGGTGATGTTCAGAATAAATTTAACGAACGCAAATTTGAAGGGCTTCCGCCCATGATACTATCTGTACAGTTTTTCTAAATTTTTTCAATTCCAAAATGTCCAATTTTGTCCAAATTTACCATGTGGAACGCCGTGCAAGTCGTACTGTTGCATTCGATAGACTGGAAACTCGTGCGAAGCGGCCACCGGGTTGGCCGGCGAAATTATGATGAAAATGGGTAGAGCGATGACCAAGTAGTAGGGCAAGTAGCCGCGGAAAAGCTCCGCTATGCTTTCCACCTCGTCGAACCACATTTTCCAGTTAGACCGGCCACACACTGGACCGAATTTGGCGAAACCACGACGTGTTTCGCAAGTCAGCAGAGGACACAAATAAAATCAGATCAGAACGGAGGAGCGGAACTGGCCTCGCCCCCTTGAGCTTAATTGGTAGATGGCGTTGGCGTCGCAGTAGAATAGCCAATCACGACCAAGCGCGCGATAGGAAAGACAAGCGATGGATTGGCACGTGGCAGCTGTGCTGCAGCCTAATAATAGAGCGAGGCCTAATAAATCAATTGAAATCAATGGCTGTAGCTTTTTTCCAATTTGTATTTTTCCTATCGTGTGTGATCTAAAAGAGCTTCTAGCCCTCGATTATTTGTATTAAAATTAATTTTATGTAAAGAAACAGAATAGCAACTCTTGTCTTAATAAATTGCGGTGAATTGTATCAAAAACGTAAGGCTTCAGGCTTTGCTACAATATTTTCTAATAAGATTATCATAAATAATTCGAATAATTGATGCAAATATAGAACTGACAAGAAGGTTGTTCTTGCGAATTAAAATAAGCCTGAAAACTAAATTTACCAATTAATTTCTAAAAAAATAATTGTGTGCTCCATTTTTAGATTTTTCCGGATTTTTCAAAGTTGTGTGACGAAAAATAAAAATAGATCAAAATGACATAAATTGGTTAAAAATTCTTCTCTTTTTAATATTTCATCTTCTTATGAGAAAACTGCAGCCCGTTAAATTGCCTTTAAATAAATAAGTATCCCTGATATATCCATGCCTCCATGCCGGATGTCTGGCTTTGTCTTTCCTGAAGATAAAACACGAAGTGTTGAAACAAATCAGTATATTCTTCGACTCAATGCGCTAACAGTTTTCTTTCAACTCTCTGTTTCGTTGATTGCAAAGTTTATTGATCGATGGCATCACCATTGTGTGTAACTTTGACTGTGGTCATAATAATCATTATCACATCAGAAGTTAAGACAACATTTGGCATCAGTTATAGTTATGGTAAAAACAGCGTCAAAAGTGCTTCAACACAATTTTCAAATTTTCTACTTAATTAAAAAACATTTCAACAGTAAATTCATAAAAAAAATTTAAAGGTGATATTGGGTGTTATTATATAATGCCAATTTAAAACTGTTTAAAATTTGCAAAATTTTTCTTTTGTTTCAGTTAATTTTATAAATATTTTTTGGTGTGTGAAATGAGGTTTTGATTAATATTTTGCAAAGGATCAATAATAAAAATCAATAAAAATCCTTTTCTATATATTAAAAAAAAATCGTATTTTTAAGCAGGACAAGGTGACGGAGCCAGAGCAACTGTTGAGCCAGATGTCTTACCTGCCTTGCAGCCAAAATCTGCAGGGTACACAAAGACAATGTGTAACGTGCAATACACAATTACCTATGGTTACTCGCGCTTCCACGTGTGGAATAATTACGCGGAAATTTCTCAGTCTGATGGTGTAGTCTCCACTACCCTTAGGTTCACTGTGAGGGCTGCCAGCGACGCTCACATTCTTCTGGCGCCAAGTGATAATGCAACTATAGGGCATCCAGTTTACGAGGTAGGACCAGTAAAGATTGGTTTTAAAATATCAAGAGCTAAATTTTGAATTAAGGGAAACTGTTAATTTTTTTTAATACAGGAAGTTTCTGTTGGAAAACGATTAAATAAAGTAAGGAATTAATTGATTGTATATTTTCCAAGTGTAAACCAACTTTTATAGTGGTAGAATTTCACGATCGAGGGTGATTAGAATTTGAAGTCGGCTTTTCTTCAATGGATTTTGTCTTCTCTGAACCTCACAGGCGAAAAATTTCATGCAGCCCTCCGCCATAACATGCAGAGCAGGATATTGTTTTTCTCAAACAATTAAACAACTCACAAAATCCATCGAGGAAAAGCTGACTTTAAATTATTACCATCAACTTTTTTTTATTATCAATCTTAATTTTAATACTATTTCCTCATTTAATCAAATGTTACTATATATTTGCATTTTTTTTAAGTTAATGATATTTTGCAACAACAGATCGTACTTGGTGCCGGCAGAAATACATTTTCTGACATCCGTCGAGCTCTTCGAACGGGCACAAAATCTAATTTGCAAACACCAGAGTTGCTTTCCGGCTTTGAGCCACGTAGCTTCTGGATCCGCTTGTCAGGCGATGGCACTATCGGCGTGGGTAAAGAGGGTGACGACACACCTTTCATGGCATGGCAAGACCCTCAGCCACTAAAGATCAAGTTTTTTGCCTTCTGCACTTGGAACGGTGTGTTCGGAAAATGGGAGTACAACTGTCCTAAGAAAAACACAACCCCCAACAGTTCAAATAATGAGCCTCCAATACCTGTACCTACAGAGCCTGAACCAAACGGTACACATAAATAAATTTCTTTTTAGTTAAGGAATAATTGACTAAATAATAAAAAGAACAAATGGATGAAATTGCTTGATTAATTTTTATCGCCCCCTACAGCGGAAGCCAGACTAACGGATGCGGAGCGCTTGCGAAGAAATCTCTTCGGTGATTACAACCCTTACACAATCCCAACATTAAAACACAGTCCTACCCTGAAAATATATGCTGCGTTTGTGCCTCAAAACATCGATATTGTATGATTGATATATTTTAAAATTAAGAGTTATTTTAAATTTTTAATTTTTAGATTGAAAAGGAAAGCACTGCAATCCTGCTTGGACAATTGGCATTGGTATTATAAAATTATTTCTATCAAATTTAACAATTTAAAATATCTTTAAATAGACCTGGAAGGACGAAAAACTGAGGTGGAATCCTGCTGATTATGACGGAATTAATCATATCACCGTGCCAACAGGTCAAATTTGGATTCCAGAACTTATTCTTTACAAGTGGGCAATTTTTCAATTATTTTTAAAATAAAAAATATATATTTTGAAATCATAGTGCTGCCGACGGAAAAGGCTGTGATCTAATGAGTGCACTATCGCTTCTCCATGTTGACTGCAACGGGACAGTATACTGGACACCAAAGACACAAATGAAGGCACTATGCAACCTAAATTTGGAGTTTTGGCCCTTTGATAAGCAAGTGTGCACCTTCACACTTGGCGTCTGGGGCCAGTCGGACAAAGTGAGCCTTAAAAATATGGTGGATGTAAGAATTTTTTTTTGTTCGAAATAGAAAATTTATTCTCTTTGGGTCTTCATAGGAGTCAGGAGTGACAGATTTTTCGACAACTGGAATAGAAAAAGCCCAATGGGTCTTGGAAGAGCTGACTCTTCACGAGCAAGCAGAAAATGATTTGCATCCATATTTTGAGGACAAATATTATAGTGACGAGAGTGAACAAGACGATGCAGATGATGATGATATTGAAATGAAAAACACAGCCTTGGAGTTTAAAGTCAAACTTCGACGGAGCAATGGAATTTACACTTGGACAGTTTTTGCACCTTTATACGGTTCAGGAATAAAACTTAGCACCTGCAAAATTTATAAACGCTCTATTTCAGTGGTGCTCATTTTTATCGCTGCCTCATTTTGGATGGAAACAAACCAATCATACCGGCTGTTTTTTGGCCTGATCTGCTTGACGACCAATTTTATAGTTTTGATGAGCTTTTTCTCACAGTTTCCTGGAGAAGTGAGCAAAACTCCTCATATAAGTACAGAAATAAATACAATCAAAAATAGAAGTAAACTATTAAATTATCATTTCAGTTTCAATGTATTCCAACGCCTTGATTCTATCAACCTTTTCGATTTTGACTACCATCGTTGTCATGCTAACTAGTGAATGCAAGTCTGAATCAGCACCACCACCAATCATCCTTACATTCCTGTCATATTTGCCAGATATTGTGACAAATATGCACCGCGTTCATCGTTACCCCGTAAATACACAAATTAAAAAATTAAAGAATTCAGATTGAAGCTGAATGTAAGGTCCTTGCTCGGGTTGTAGATCCCAATGTTGAAATGCAACTCCTTCTCACGCAGGATCAGCCGGTATGTCAACCGGAATCTATGTGAGAAAAATTTTGTTTATAAAAAAAAAAAAATTGGAAATGATAAATAATTAAATAATTTGTTGTCTGTAAAGACAATTTCATGAAATATTTTATTTCAAGACAGAAGTAAAAATTTTAGAATTTTTTTAGAATATATTTTCTGTTTTTCTGCCATCCTAAAATATGTATTTGGAGTATTAAATCAAGAATACCTAGATAAAAAAAAATATATATATAATTTATCACTTTTTTTTTCAATCTAATTAATTAAGAGGCACAATTTTGGCGATTTCAATGAGGGAAAAAGGTGACTCACGGGTAAGACCACATGGATCTGGTGAACTCGTTGTCCATCAGCGAGAAAATGGCCTCGACATCTCCGCTGGGCATCCGCTCCGGAGCCTTTTCCACGTTCCAACGTGTGATCCTGGCAAAGCCGTGCTGCGGCCCGTAGTTCCATTCTCCGAATTGAGCTGCTTTTGCACAATTTAAAAATTTCAATCAATACCGCCGTCCATCATCAGCTCGAGAGCAAACAAAAATTTCGAGAGCTATTTATAATATACTTACGGAAGACAAAGGGAATGCCGCCCCTGATGGCTTTCTTGCCGTCGAAGACAGCTTGCTTGCTGCAAGGACAGGATAATTAATGACCGAATTGGGGGTGAGCGAAGGGGAGAGCGAGCAAAAAAATAGACGGCAAACAGAGCAGGCGCCGAAAGCTTTTTGCAATACACTTTGGAGAAACGCGAGAAAGCGCCACCATTAATTTATAATTTATCTGAATTTCTCGAGAGTGAATAAGAGACGCGTTTCCGCTTGAATATTATTCTCTACATCTGAACAAACATTCTAGCACTCTCGGGCTTGTCTAGACGAATCTTTTTGCTCCATTCGCTCCCTGGCGAATTTCATGCTCGAGATACTTCAGTGCTTTTTGCGTAGCTTTTGAGCAGAATTGTTTTGCTAGGCGCGGATAGTGTTGTGATTGGCAACACTTCTTATTTGTTGGGAAATTTTGAACTTTTGACGTTTAAATTAGTTTTTAATACATTTTTGGCGCTCAGTTTCCTAATTCTGCGTTGAATAGTGAAGTATAAAATTTACAAAATTAACTTCAAATTACGCATGAGATATTATCCACTTTCTCAGGATGAGCCAGTTTTTTTCAATGTTCTTTTTAATATTAAAATTTATTCTGGAATAAAACTACAAGTCAGGAATGCAGTAGAATAATGCCTCGTTGAAAGTTGAGATTCAAAGTTCATAACGTGTTGTTTGTCCGAATTTATTTTATAAAATATTTTTTATTTTAAATAAATGATTTATTAAAAAAAATTGAATATAATATTTTATAAACAAAATAATAAACATAAAAACAGAATTATTTAATTTAAATAAATACTTGTAAAATAGATTTTGTTATTGATCCAAAGTCAAAACAAAATTTAATTTTTTTTAAATTTCTTTAAAATATTTTGCTAAATTAAATTTACAATTTTTTTTTTTTAAAGGTTATACTTAAGATCATTGCAATAAAACTGAGCAGTAAAAAGGGGCAGACAGAGCGATCGCCTTCTTCTGCGCCAATACGGTTATTTCTTTACTTCTCAATTCTACTTTTTATCTCGAATCGTTTGGACAGCGTTTGCCGATTGCTGTGATTTTTCCCGAGTTTGTGGCCCGATGGACTCACATAATGGGTATCAATCATGCTGGCTTTTTTATATTACGCCGGGCCAAGCTGTAAGCAAAGCAAACCGCACACATTTCGGTCGGCGACGCTACCATGGTAACATTATTTTTTTGCCCGCAAAAGCGCCAGTTTCCTGTCTGCACGCTCCGCGCCCAGACCAGACAACTTTTGGTTCTTGGAATTTTGTGTGCGCGCTCTTGGATTTATAGCAACTTCAATGACTGTCTGATCGTATCGTCGTTTTGTGGGCTATTGGCCACGCGCTAGCCAAAACATCATAAAGCTCCAAATCAAATGTTATGGAATCTGTTTAAAAATTAGCCAAATTAAAATAAATAAATCCAGTTTAATAATAAATTTCGATTTTGACGTTATGAATCGTTCTTGATTAAAAATATTATATTTACTGTAAAACAACGGTCAAATCAATGCATATGATACTTTATTTTATAAAGGAAATTAGAAAAACTGATTTCCATCAAATTGAAACGCAATGAGGAAAAGTTGAGTTTCATTTTTGAGGAAAAGTGTAGCGTGTGTTGGATTCACATATTGAGGCAAAAAGCGAATTTAAATTCTAAAACTTCAAATTACTAAATAAAAATCTGTTCTCTTAACAAAAAAAATCAAATTTAAAAAAGGCAAACGGAAACGCTTAGACTAATAGTTTGTTTAATAAATGCCACTTAATTACAAACTTTCTCAACAAAAGATGTCTTTTGTTTGCAGTTTAATTTTACAAAAAAAAAGATGATCTCTTTTGCAGGTAGGCGATATAATTTTTCTAATTAAAATAGATTTCAACAAAATAATTTAAAATTATAATTATCATTCCCGAGTTTGAAGAGTTGTATCAATTCATTGGTCAGCATGACTGAGCGATTGCGTGCTTGTGAAACGCTAGAATAGATTAAAAATGGGCGCAATTTTACTGGACACCAAAGACACAAATGAAGGCACTATGCAACCTAAATTTGGAGTTTTGGCCCTTTGATAAGCAAGTGTGCACCTTCACACTTGGCGTCTGGGGCCAGTCGGACAAAGTGAGCCTTAAAAATATGGTGGATGTAAGAATTTTTTTTTGTTCGAAATAGAAAATTTATTCTCTTTGGGTCTTCATAGGAGTCAGGAGTGACAGATTTTTCGACAACTGGAATAGAAAAAGCCCAATGGGTCTTGGAAGAGCTGACTCTTCACGAGCAAGCAGAAAATGATTTGCATCCATATTTTGAGGACAAATATTATAGTGACGAGAGTGAACAAGACGATGCAGATGATGATGATATTGAAATGAAAAACACAGCCTTGGAGTTTAAAGTCAAACTTCGACGGAGCAATGGAATTTACACTTGGACAGTTTTTGCACCTTTATACGGTTCAGGAATAAAACTTAGCACCTGCAAAATTTATAAACGCTCTATTTCAGTGGTGCTCATTTTTATCGCTGCCTCATTTTGGATGGAAACAAACCAATCATACCGGCTGTTTTTTGGCCTGATCTGCTTGACGACCAATTTTATAGTTTTGATGAGCTTTTTCTCACAGTTTCCTGGAGAAGTGAGCAAAACTCCTCATATAAGTACAGAAATAAATACAATCAAAAATAGAAGTAAACTATTAAATTATCATTTCAGTTTCAATGTATTCCAACGCCTTGATTCTATCAACCTTTTCGATTTTGACTACCATCGTTGTCATGCTAACTAGTGAATGCAAGTCTGAATCAGCACCACCACCAATCATCCTTACATTCCTGTCATATTTGCCAGATATTGTGACAAATATGCACCGCGTTCATCGTTACCCCGTAAATACACAAATTAAAAAATTAAAGAATTCACAAAAAAATTTCAATCGAAGGAAATGGTCAGAAGAAGAGCCATTTTTAGCGGCAATGATCACAGGCTTTTGGAAAATGACTCTGCAGAGCAAAGTGGATCAAATGACTGTTCTGAGGAACCAAAGGAGGCCAAACAAAACGTTTGGGCCGACGTAGCCAACGCAATAGATCTGCTGGCGTTTTTCAGCATGCTTATCTTCACTATTATCGTGTTTAGTTTTTAATTTGATTATAAAATTTCCATAAATAAAATAACAAATATCGATAAAATATTCTCGACAAGCGATCATTGTCATTTTATAAAAATGTAAAAAAAATCAACAGCTTACAACTTTTGTCCACAGTCCAGGTTTCTTCATGCAGTCGTCATGCCGGAGAGCTTTCAGGCACTTAAACAGTGTGACTGTGAAGTCTTCTGGCAGGTTCTTAGACTGAATCACACTGTGTATCCATTCAATCATCTACAAAATTGAATAAATACTTCAACATACAAGAAACAATTTAAAGCCCCAAACAAACCTGCAAAGTCAATCCATTGAAATTGGGGCTTTCTGCAAAGCTCAATGCTGCTTGGGGTAGAAGATCAAGTCGAACGTCTCTGTTCTTTGTAACATTGCCATGTACGAGATGGCCTGAAAGTGTCAGGATGGCCAAGCTCCAAACGTCACACAGATAGAGGCTGCGCTCATTTGTCTCACTTGATAGAAGAGAGGCCTGAATTTGTCCCATCAGTTGCAAGAGCCAGTCTTTAGTCACTTCAACAGACTTTCTATTGTGCACAAGTGGTTGAATCAAGTGTTCAAATAAAAATCTGTGTTCACTGAAAAATTTAAATTTTTAAAAAAACACCATGGAAATTGTCAAATATTATACTTTGGTTTAGTGTGGCACGCTTCAATGCACTCGTTGACCCAATTGAGTGCATTCTCATCTGAATTTGCAGCAATCCAAGTTCGGATTACGATGGCATTTTGCAGTTTCCGAGAGTTGACTTCAGACCAAGTGGTGGGGGATGTCATTTCATTCAGGAACTTGGAGTGCATCTGGCTGACACATTCATTGTATGGCAAAAACACCTAAAGGAGACATTAACAAAATGACGTACATTAATAAAAAACAATTACCTTATTGTCCTTCCAGCTGAGCTCACTCATAAGATCATCCAGAGTCAGTGCCAAAAGCTTCTGATTTATTTCCAAAACATCGTCATTAAGGAGTGTACACTTGATGTGTCCAAAGATTTTATGTAGTGTTCCCAAATTAGCCTCATCAGCTATGGCAAAATACTTCTTAGTAAATATTTAATTTAAAAAAGTTTCTGTAAATACCCAAACAAAATTCGATGGCCCTGCGCACATGTGCCTCCACAAAGTTTCTCAGCGAAGTTGGCTCAACAGTTTTCCCTAATATTTCCAGTGTAGAAAATATGTCAACTACGTCCTGAATCTATGCATTTTAAATTAATATCAAAACAAATTTCATTTTCTCATTAGTATACCTCTAGGTTCATGGTGGCAGCTTCTTTGAGTAAGGACTCGGTGACTTTGAGAGCAGATGGTGAGGTGTGTGCCTGCCTTGCGACAACTTTCAAACTCGCAACAAGCAAATCTGCTCTCTGTCCTGCCAAAGTTTCCATGAAGTTCCAGTTGCAGGGGGGAAATTGCTTTGGCATTGGTTGCGCCAGAACTTTCAAAATGTTAGGCACCACAGGATCGTTGACTTGGGCCTTTCTCAGACAGCCAAGCAAACCAAGAAAAATGCTGTAGATGTTTAGACGAGGAACATCGGGCTCAGCTTTTCCCGGAACTTGCTGCAGGGCACCTCGAAGGGTTTCAATCTCATCACTAAGGAACTTTGTCACTAACTCTGTGGCGGTTGGAAGGACAGCCAGCATTTGAGGCCAACAAACTCCTGCGAATTTAAAATCAATCATTTTAAAAGATCCAATGCTAAAAAAATCATAAATTACCAGGGATAAAGTTAAGTACATCTTCTGCTGACTTGGAAGAGTCTGCTGCACTTTTCGAGAACTCTGGAGGATATGGCAAATTTTTCTTAAACATTGCTGGAACGACTGAGAGGTAAAGGTCCTCCAAAGTGAATTTAGACAGCGCTCTTAGGAAGGAATAATTTATAAGGATGATCCAGCATAAAATTTGATATAATTACTTGAATGCTGAGATGGAAACTTCAGTGCTCAGTCCACATGCAGAGTAATACCACAGTCTTGTTTGGACGTCTGTCCAGAGTTTTGCTTGTTCGGGGTGATTTGATGGCACCTCACTCATCAAGCCCAATACTGTGCACAAACTAAAATCCAATTGGGTAAGCTTGCTATTTTCATTCTAAATATTAACTCACTTTTTCACAACTACAGGTCTCATGTCTGGAGCCAGTCTTGGTGCCAAAACTTTCCAGGTGGACGCAACATCAATGACAGTTGCTTTGCATAGAGCTGCTATTGCTTCCAAAGCAAGCGCGCACGCAGTCGCTCCCGATTCACCAGTGCAGCGGTTTAAAATTCCAGACAGAATGCCGACCAAATCCTTACCGTGCTGATTTGGCCTGATATTGAATGCCATTATGAGAAAAATAATTTAATCAATTTTAATTACCTCTCCAAGCAGATTTCTTTGATGGTGTGTGCTCTGGTTAAGTCCCAGTAATTCTGGAGGTCACTTTTGCCAATGCTGTCCACCAAGAGTAATTTGTGAAGGTAAGGGAAAACTCGGGGCTCCAGTTTCCACATAATCAAGTACAAGTTGAGCACCAAAGGCTGGAGGGCTGGTGCCGATCGAAGGCTTTCCAGCGTGTTGATGATCAAAGAAACATTTTCCTGAAAAACAATTAGTTTTTAACAGCCTGCAGTTAAATAAAAAAAATCAAACCTTTTGCTTTCCAAGCCTGGGCAGAGCCTTTAACAGAGCCAATTGGCACTCCGGTCTCTTTTCCTGGCTGAGGCGAGACAGCAGCCATGTCAGCACAGACGCTACCATATCAATTTTACTTCGGGCCAGTTCGACCAAAATTTCCAAGCAGACGTTCAGAACAGGGGACTCGTTTTTAGGGTTGGTCAAAACTGCACCCAAAATCAGCATACACTCTTGTTGAAACCTTTCAGGTGCCTGCTTCAAGTGATTCAGCCACTTGATCAAAACATTCGCCTGGCTGATCTCGACCAAAATGTAGCTCTGGACTGCCAAGTGGGCAATTGGAAATGTGTGCGAGGTCAATTGTGGGGGCTCCGGAACAACTTTGGCCAATTTCAGCTGGGCAATGATGGTCTGGATTTTTCTCAAAGGTGCAGCAATCAAGGGAGATGGACACGCCATGAAAGGCAGGATGGATGTAGTGAAAATGTTGGCAGCAAACGTGCAGCACTTGTTCTTCTCTATTACCAAGTGACCTAAAAATAAATTGAGATTAAAATATCAAGAAATTTGAAGATAATTACATGTTGTCAAAAGGGCTAAAAGGTGATTTGGGGCAGCAGCACAAATGGCATGGCACAAAACAATCACGACGCACGATCCAACAAAAATGCCACAGTTTTCAAGCAATGGCTCGAGGGTGACCAGAGCTGGCTGTGGATTTTTGCCACTCGTGCTCAGGTCATAGGCAATGTTGGCCAGCGTGAGGGTCAAGTCATCTTTCGATAATCCCTCGACTTCAGGAAAAGCGGCTAGTTGCATGACCAAAGACTGGTTTGCTGGTGATTTCATCTGGTAAAAAAATTCTTAAAAATTAAAAGCTCAATTATTCACGGATTTATGTACCTGCATCCATTGCAGACATTCTAATATTAGGCTTTTGTTTTTGAGACCAAGTAAAATGTTCCAAAGAGGTTGTTGGTATACTGGAGGGTTCTCGGATGTGGTAGATGGATCACAAATCATATAGAGGGCCACCGGTTTGACAACCTCTGGACCAAAACAACGAATCCTAAGGTATAAAAATATTAAAAAAATATAATTATCTCCTTATTAAAATTTAAAACAGAAATTTAATTAAGAGTGAATCAAATTTGCTTACACATCATCCGAGTGGTTGCAGATGGTTGAAATCTCGTTGACGATTTCATCCCAGGCATTTTGATTTCGTTTGAGAATTGTCACAAAAGGATGTTGGGGCGAATGGAGGTTGAACGGATTTATGTAATCCTGGCCAGCTTGCAGCCGAAGCTTCAGATCTAATACCATCAATTGCCCAACAGCACTAATGACACTTCCAGGAACTCTATTAATCAATAAAAATGTAGAAATTTATGAAAAATGAAGCAAAATGCATTTTCACTTGACGCTTGGAAGAAGAGCAATCAAAGTTGACAGAGCTTTCGGAATCGGTAAAAGTCCAGCTTCGACCAAAGTCACGATGCCTTGGCAACTAGAATGGCTCACAACGTAATTGTCATCTTTGCACTTTTCTCTTAGCAGCTGCAGCTCTTGAGGCTTTCAAAATTAATAAATGTAAAAATATATGCTAAATTTATTAAAATAAATAAAAAAATATTAATTGTATGAAATATGAATACCTCTTGAGTTGACGAGCTTTCCTTGCCTTTCTTCAAAGTGGCACTTACAATTTTTCCAACATTCTAAAAAATTGAAAGTACAAAGATTTGAAAGATTTAAAAATTTTTTTTTTGACAAATCTATGATATATGATACGGAATTGCGATAAATAAAAACAAATAATCTTACGTAAACAAGGGAAGACGAATTCATGTTGAAATTTTTCGTTCCAATGTAATATGTTGCTTCAGTAAAACGATAAGACGCTTAAAATTTGTCCAGAATTTCTAAATCTTCATTTCTTTGATTAACGAAAAATCGGCTTGTCTGTCTACGGAAAAATAAAAGTAAAATGTCTGGTTTTTACTGTTTTCGTTGTGTTTTGAATTTTACCATCTGTGATCTGCCGGCAAAATGGTGCTGCCACCTATGTCCTATAAGTGTACGAACAAACTTGAAGGTCGAAGCTCTCTGCTCCCAGCCAATCACCGCGCGTCTTGCGTCCGACATCATTCCCGATTCCCGTTCTTGTCTCTCGGCCGAAATCACCCAAAACTTTTATTCCTCCACGAGATTGTTTAGAATCGCCATTAATTCTTGCTGAATAGCGTCGAATTCGGAGTGTCGAGCTCTCTGCTTGAGATTCGGGTCGCTCAACTCCACCTAATATGACTCGTGAGTATTGGATTTGCGTAAATACATAAACCTTTGCGGAAGTTCAAGACCGTTTCGAAATCGCAGAAAGGTCGCCTTCTGTCAAACGTCTTCTGACGCGCACTTTGCATTTACGCAGTGAAAGTTGTACTATTTATTCACCTGCTTACAATTCCAGGTGGAAATCAGCGAGACTTGGCCAGGGCCAAGAACCAGAAGAAGCAGCAGGAAGTCGCGCGCAAAAAGGGGGCTAATGACAAGGACTCCAACAAAGGGATGACCCTGGAGCAGCGCAAGCAGAGGTGCTTTTTACATTATTGTCAAAATTGTGCTAACATGATCAAAATTTCATTGCAAAAACGCCAAAAACAGTTGTATTTCAAAATTTTAATTGGAATTCTGAATGAAAAAATCAACTTGCCAAAAGTCGTGAATTAGTAAAATAACTTTTTAGAATTTTGAAAAAAAAAAGTATTTGAAATATATTTTAATTGCATTTAATTCCAAAAAAATTTATGTTTCATGATTACGTAATTATTTAAATATTTTTTTTTTTAATTTAGGGATGCAGACTTGATGAGAGAAAAGCAGCAAAAAGCTGCTGCCGAGAAGGGGGCGTCTGGAAGTTAAGGAACAGCTTTGCTTCCTCCTTGTGCGTCAAGTTGTGCAAGGTTAACTTTGACACGAGTGTTTGGTTTTTTCCTTTCTTCTCGATTGGCAAATTTGGCAGCCATTGACCAAATGTGTAAATTAACAACACTTGCAATATAAATTTATAATTTCCGCTTTGGTATTTATCAAGTATGATAGTGGCACAATTACCATTTTAAATGGCTGATTTATGTGGTATTACTGATTCAGTTGCGATTAATTTACCAATAAATTCAAACAAATAGTCTTCTTTTAATCTGGATTTTAATTATGTTAAATTTAGAGGACCTTTAAATCAAACTAAATGCTGGTTTTCAAGTATATTTTATTGCACCACTCCCATGATGAACAAGATTCAATTCAGTTTTTCTTTTTCGCCTAAGCAATTTATGCTTTTTCTGGTTGGAAAACATTTTTGGTCTCGTGTGTAAATCAACTGGTAACAAATTTTTCAAATTTCCTTGATGGTGGGTGGCTTCAATATATTGCTCAAAGAGATATTCCGCGAGTATCACATGAACTATTCTACCAATGTGCTAAATTCACTTTCTCGAGAGTTTTCATTTCCAAGCGGATTCGAATTTCCTCCAAATAGTTCAACCATTTTCGCTGTCACAAATAGTTGGAGGACGAATCAAATTCAATCAGAAACAATAATAAAATTGTCGTATACGATTTCTCATAAGGCAGTGCCCATACACATTCTGAAAGGAGCACTCTCGGCTTTTCTAGCATTCTAACTGCTTTTTGAATCCAGCGGACAGCGATTAATGTAATAGTCTGGAATTTATAATAATTATATGTATTTGGAGGTTAAGCAGAAGTGGAGAAGCGCAAATACACATCGATGGATTGAATTGTTAAGAACATCAAAGAGTAGTAATTCAACAACGGACTAACAAACTAACTTGGCTAACTAGAATTTCGGGCCTCTGGCTTTCCATTTTACCATTTTTTTTTAGCTATCAATATTTTCAGATTAAGCCAGAGACCTGAGGCTAAACCTTACCCTAATTATTATTTCTTTCTTAATAGTCATTATCCTTGTCATACATTTTCACATTTAAACCATAACACTGAAATGCGCGGCCAAACCGTATTGCTAGACAGAACAACAAATAGACACGACGCTTATTGCATAATTATGCTAAAATCAATTGTTGATCCAGATTTTGGCAATTGGTGTGCGCGTGAATGTCTACCTATGGGGTGACGATTGAGCAGTCACGGTCACATAATTTTCTGTTCTCCTTCTAACTATTTAAAACACTTATGAGCAAGACTTATTACAAACTGTTCTCATAATCGCTCTTGTGCATTAAAGAAAAGCAGTGTACAAAAAATGAATCATAATAATTAATTTGAAAAAAAAAATGCAATAATGTGTGAGTTGAGTAAATTTGACAATAGTTCAACTGGAATGGGTGTTGTTAGTATAAGTTTTTAGCTCGAAGAATTAATTAACAAGACTTGTGCGCAGGGAACTGAATTTCGAGATCGATGAACTCATCAAATTAATATAATAAACAGTAATAGTAGGAATATTTTATAAAATTCTTCTTCTTCACAAAAGTAGTGGCACAAAACTGGCTTAAGAGAAACACAAAATAAATTACTCCGCGTAAAAACATCATAAATTATAATCAAATAGTAGCTCTCTCTTTCTTTTCACTTTACAAACATCAGTCATTTCACAATTCCTTCCGAGAAACAACAAACCTTTGGCTGTGGTGGCTTAACCGTTATTAGTATCATAGTAGTACAACAAAGTGTGTATGTAATTGCTTAATTTGAATATAAGTGAGGAAAACACAACAGTAGGAAGCACACAATATTTTTATCAAAAATTCCTTGCCATTGAGAGTGGGAAAAAAATCGTGCTAGTTAACCACCTGCTCTCTTTACCAAAAATATTAAATAAAAGTCTCCCAATTACAATAGAATTGAACAAAACGGTTTCCCTGAGCCATGATTTTACAGGAGGTGTTTTGAGGATTTCCAATTTCGAAATTTAATTTGCCAAAAATCACTATACGATTAAACTTAAGCAAACGGCAGGTGGCTTGGTTCGCGCGACGAAAGTGGATCTGACCGCTGAAAGGTGTGTTAGAGGTTGAGGGAACAGATGCTGCAGCTGGCTGGCTGGTTGCAAGGTTCGTCTTTAGAGTGGAGGGCGGCCGCAGCTGCTCCTTCGAGAAGGAACCGCCTCGGCGTGGGTGCTCCAGGCACAAACATTTCCGAGTAGATCGAGTTGAGGGCTAGCCAGCCGTAGCCTGGGGCGGCAGGAGCTGCGGGGGTGGGCTCTGGCGGCGCGGGGGCGGCCAGCGGCTGCACCCGGACCCCTCGAGGGGCCGGACCAGCGGCCGGAATGCCACCACGTCGCGGCCCCTCCGCTCACATTACCTGCAGGATCTGGCTGGCCTCGAAGGCTGTCCCCGGCAGCAGAATCACCGGACTGCTCACGTGGCCTGACTCGACGCACACCATGTTCGGGTACTCGTCGTCTCCAAAGTCTGGCGTCTCCTTGGCCTTTTCAATCCAGGGATTCCAAACAACTAAAAGTAAAATAAAATTTATTCATTAATGTTCTGATTTGTCTTTTCATAAAAAAAATAAATGTGCATAGATTTTTTTTATCGTTTTTACAGGCAATAATAATATTTATCATAATTTTCCAAATTTGAAGCTAAGCTTGGGTATCGTAACAGTATTAATGTTAAATAAATTATTTGAGTCTTAAGAAATGAATGAATATAATATAATTTTTATAAAAAAAAAGTTGTAAAAATGAAAACAAGGTAAAATTTTTTTCACCATTGAAAAATTAAATAAATTTAAATAATTTGGAATTAGTTATATAATAAATGATAAAAGAATAATATAAATCACAAATAAAAAACATAATTAAAAATTATGCATATTTAAATTTAATTTTTGTTTATTACTGTTAATTATTTGTTCCCATTCATAAAGTTCTGCTTATGTTACAAATAATTAAATAGATAAAATTTTTTGTTCCAGTTCCCTAAAATTTTAGGGAATTAAAATCAAATGATTTTAATGTTAAAAAGAGAGGAATGACAATTAACTTTAAAGGGGGTTAATTATGGTATATAAATTTAAATTAATTTCTACTTAGATACTTAATTCTATACCTGTATCAGGGAAGTTGTACTTCTGTATCCTCATTTTCCGTCCAGACACAACATTGGTGATGATGTGCTCCTGTGGCGTATTCTGGTAAATGCGATCGGTCCACTCGCCGATGGTAACAACGTCCCTGGCCTCTTGGAACATAGCACCGTCCCTGGTCTAATGTTAAAACCAGAAATGAAAGAGTGAATAAAGAAAAAGAGAAAAACAAACCTTATCAATAAAAGTACAGCCATGAAGGCCGGTGATCTGGCATCTGCGGACGTCTGGCACTTTGAAGTAGGTGTGCAGCAACAGATTGAAGCTGAATGTAAGGTCCTTGCTCGGGTTGTAGATCCCAATGTTGAAATGCAACTCCTTCTCACGCAGGATCAGCCGGTATGTCAACCGGAATCTATGTGAGAAAAATTTTGTTTATAAAAAAAAAAAAATTGGAAATGATAAATAATTAAATAATTTGTTGTCTGTAAAGACAATTTCATGAAATATTTTATTTCAAGACAGAAGTAAAAATTTTAGAATTTTTTTAGAATATATTTTCTGTTTTTCTGCCATCCTAAAATATGTATTTGGAGTATTAAATCAAGAATACCTAGATAAAAAAAAATATATATATAATTTATCACTTTTTTTTTCAATCTAATTAATTAAGAGGCACAATTTTGGCGATTTCAATGAGGGAAAAAGGTGACTCACGGGTAAGACCACATGGATCTGGTGAACTCGTTGTCCATCAGCGAGAAAATGGCCTCGACATCTCCGCTGGGCATCCGCTCCGGAGCCTTTTCCACGTTCCAACGTGTGATCCTGGCAAAGCCGTGCTGCGGCCCGTAGTTCCATTCTCCGAATTGAGCTGCTTTTGCACAATTTAAAAATTTCAATCAATACCGCCGTCCATCATCAGCTCGAGAGCAAACAAAAATTTCGAGAGCTATTTATAATATACTTACGGAAGACAAAGGGAATGCCGCCCCTGATGGCTTTCTTGCCGTCGAAGACAGCTTGCTTGCTGCAAGGACAGGATAATTAATGACCGAATTGGGGGTGAGCGAAGGGGAGAGCGAGCAAAAAAATAGACGGCAAACAGAGCAGGCGCCGAAAGCTTTTTGCAATACACTTTGGAGAAACGCGAGAAAGCGCCACCATTAATTTATAATTTATCTGAATTTCTCGAGAGTGAATAAGAGACGCGTTTCCGCTTGAATATTATTCTCTACATCTGAACAAACATTCTAGCACTCTCGGGCTTGTCTAGACGAATCTTTTTGCTCCATTCGCTCCCTGGCGAATTTCATGCTCGAGATACTTCAGTGCTTTTTGCGTAGCTTTTGAGCAGAATTGTTTTGCTAGGCGCGGATAGTGTTGTGATTGGCAACACTTCTTATTTGTTGGGAAATTTTGAACTTTTGACGTTTAAATTAGTTTTTAATACATTTTTGGCGCTCAGTTTCCTAATTCTGCGTTGAATAGTGAAGTATAAAATTTACAAAATTAACTTCAAATTACGCATGAGATATTATCCACTTTCTCAGGATGAGCCAGTTTTTTTCAATGTTCTTTTTAATATTAAAATTTATTCTGGAATAAAACTACAAGTCAGGAATGCAGTAGAATAATGCCTCGTTGAAAGTTGAGATTCAAAGTTCATAACGTGTTGTTTGTCCGAATTTATTTTATAAAATATTTTTTATTTTAAATAAATGATTTATTAAAAAAAATTGAATATAATATTTTATAAACAAAATAATAAACATAAAAACAGAATTATTTAATTTAAATAAATACTTGTAAAATAGATTTTGTTATTGATCCAAAGTCAAAACAAAATTTAATTTTTTTTAAATTTCTTTAAAATATTTTGCTAAATTAAATTTACAATTTTTTTTTTTTAAAGGTTATACTTAAGATCATTGCAATAAAACTGAGCAGTAAAAAGGGGCAGACAGAGCGATCGCCTTCTTCTGCGCCAATACGGTTATTTCTTTACTTCTCAATTCTACTTTTTATCTCGAATCGTTTGGACAGCGTTTGCCGATTGCTGTGATTTTTCCCGAGTTTGTGGCCCGATGGACTCACATAATGGGTATCAATCATGCTGGCTTTTTTATATTACGCCGGGCCAAGCTGTAAGCAAAGCAAACCGCACACATTTCGGTCGGCGACGCTACCATGGTAACATTATTTTTTTGCCCGCAAAAGCGCCAGTTTCCTGTCTGCACGCTCCGCGCCCAGACCAGACAACTTTTGGTTCTTGGAATTTTGTGTGCGCGCTCTTGGATTTATAGCAACTTCAATGACTGTCTGATCGTATCGTCGTTTTGTGGGCTATTGGCCACGCGCTAGCCAAAACATCATAAAGCTCCAAATCAAATGTTATGGAATCTGTTTAAAAATTAGCCAAATTAAAATAAATAAATCCAGTTTAATAATAAATTTCGATTTTGACGTTATGAATCGTTCTTGATTAAAAATATTATATTTACTGTAAAACAACGGTCAAATCAATGCATATGATACTTTATTTTATAAAGGAAATTAGAAAAACTGATTTCCATCAAATTGAAACGCAATGAGGAAAAGTTGAGTTTCATTTTTGAGGAAAAGTGTAGCGTGTGTTGGATTCACATATTGAGGCAAAAAGCGAATTTAAATTCTAAAACTTCAAATTACTAAATAAAAATCTGTTCTCTTAACAAAAAAAATCAAATTTAAAAAAGGCAAACGGAAACGCTTAGACTAATAGTTTGTTTAATAAATGCCACTTAATTACAAACTTTCTCAACAAAAGATGTCTTTTGTTTGCAGTTTAATTTTACAAAAAAAAAGATGATCTCTTTTGCAGGTAGGCGATATAATTTTTCTAATTAAAATAGATTTCAACAAAATAATTTAAAATTATAATTATCATTCCCGAGTTTGAAGAGTTGTATCAATTCATTGGTCAGCATGACTGAGCGATTGCGTGCTTGTGAAACGCTAGAATAGATTAAAAATGGGCGCAATTTTAAAATTGAAGTGAGTTAAAAGCTTTGAGTAACTGCACAAAAGGGGGGAAATATTTAATACAAAATGTGGACAAAAGCGCAAAGATTTATTTGCAGACAAATATTTTTTTTACAAGAATTTGTATGATTTTAAATATTTCCTATTAAAATTTGTAGCCATAATAATGAAAAAAATTCATCGCATTAAAATTGTGCAGCAAAGAATAATTTTTTTAAATAATATTTTTTAAACCAACAAAACAAGTAAAAAGAAATACATTATAAAATGACAATTCATCATTTTAATGTACAATTATAAGATTGTATTAAAATTTAAAGAATTGGAATAAAAAGAAAATAATTAAGCTGTAAAATATAAACAAAAAATCACATTTTAAAAAAAAAAATTGGAAAATTATTACTGTAAATTAAAATTCCTTGTAAATGTTGAAAAAAGATTTTAGTTAACTAATTTCTTAAAAGAAAAAATTATATTTTGTGCTTCCCTATTCGAGGTGCACACTTCATAATATATAATGGTAAAATGAGTCAGTGTTGAAAAAGCGGCGGATGCAGGGCCAAAAGAGTTTGACAGCGACTCGCTCTCTGGTTGGCTCATTCCGGTCGCCAGACGGGCAAAAAACAGCCGGGGCCGCCGCTTTGTCAGCACCGAGGACCTTGGCCGGGCCCTTCGGAGGGCGCCGGACGCTCGCTCACCTGACGAAAAGCTGCTCCTGGTTGTTGACGCGCCACGAGACGACGGTAGCACCTGAAAATTTGCACGCACAAGTGTGAAAATTCGAATCGCTTCGCTCACCGCTGTCAAAACATAAAAAATCGGAGCAGCGTTTTTATCGAAAACGCGCGGCGGCGCCTCGGCCGAGGGGCATGACTCGGGCCCCGAGCACCCTGTTTTCGGCCTCGGCGCCGACCCCGCGGTCGCGATCGCCGCCCAATTGGGCTCCGGCCGCGCCCACCACCTCCAGCCACCCTTGCAGACCCTTTTCAGGACACTTACCGTGCAGGTTGATGGTGCAGGTCGTGTTATTGCCCCGGTCGAGCACCACAACACTCGTCGCCGCTGCCATGTTTGAACTGCAAGCCGCCCATTCCTCCTGTTTTTTTGGTAGGTCCACGCTCGGCATTGCGCTCTTACGACCGCAGCTGCCAACAAACAGTCGGAGTAGAAAGTTATAAAGTGGGATTAATTGATTGATTTGAGCCGCTTTACTTAATTGTTAAAAATTGTTCAAAAAATTAATCTTGAAGCGGGATCTTTTAATGAAGCTGATTATTAATTATTTAAATTATTTCCAAGTAATTATTAAAAAGCATAGCATAATAACATGAGTACCCATGATTGTCATGGTTAATTTTTTTATTAAATGAATCCATTATTTACAGATCACTTTACCTACCCTAAAACTGAGGAACAAATTGCAATTAGTGCATATTATTGAGAAGAGTTCAAGTTATGCAAACAAATGTAAATGTATAAAAAAAAATAATAATTTAAAATATTGAGGATAAAAATATCAATTTCATTATTACGTTATAATTAAAAATAATATTGCTTAAAAAAATATAAAACTTAAATTATATTTAATTACAATAAAAATTTAATAAAGTTAATATATTATGCATTTTATTTGAAATTTGCAGTTTAATTAAGTTAAAATGATTTAATTTTTTTTGTGCTGTTACATTAAAATATTGTATAGAATTTTAATATTTTTAATTGATTCTACATGTATATTACAATAAAATAAATAATATAGAGAATAAATGAAGGTTCAGTAATCAAACCCCATTCATCATTACTACTTTGTTTTTTTTTTTACCAAAATTTTTATTGCTATCGCAAATTTTAAAAACAACTTAATGATTGCTCAAATTATAATATGACTGTATTTCTTTAATTTAAACCAAAATATTATCAAGCTTCAATTGAATTTCTTTTTCTACATCATTGATATAAGATAATATAACCAACAAGAGTCTACAGAATTATTTTTGGTTTGCAGTCGTCATGTTGAATAAAAAATAATTCTTGCTGGTTATTTTCCTCTACTTTTTTTAACAGCAAAGAGCATCAGCTGATATAAATTTATAACTGAGATAAAAAAAAAATAAAAATTGTCATGTTAAATAGAAGTCAATAAGCATGAAATGTACTGCAATTGTTTTAAAAATTAGAAGTTTAGTTTAATATAATATAATTACTGAAAATCTTTCATAATTATTTTTTTACGTTATTTTTTACTCAATTTTACAGAAGATGTCATTCGTAGCAGTCCCCCAAAAAGTGCTAGAAAAATTAAGTATTTTTAACTTATTTAATTTCTTTTTCACCTCATCTTCGTTATAAAAGTAGGAACTGTATTGGATTGAATGCTAGTAAAATTCTCATGGCGCGAGTGCGAGCGAAACGCGGAACGGATCGTGAGGCGCTTGAGTGTGGGACCGGCGGGTGTAAATTTTGGGCCGGATTGCTCGAGTGTTAGTTGAATTAGAGGCGGTTTCGGTGAGACAGGACGCCTTTGAGGCAGCCGAAACTCGAGCCCCTCGACGGTGTCTGCCGTTGTCAATTTGTGGTTAACACGAATCGGGTTTATTTTTTGGACGTGTGCGAGTTTCGCGTTCGCGTCCCGCGGCCGCGCCGTCAGAGCGCGGAACGCGAGTCGCGGGGCAGAACGACGCCGCGGAGGAGAACCCGAGCGACCACCGGGACAGGAGGGGCTTTGTTTTGACGCGCGCCGTGTCCGCAGGTGCGACAGAGACACTTTCGCGTCCGACTTTCATGTGCGAAAATGCTCAAATTCGGTAATAAAGGTGAGGCTAGTGTGAGCCACAAGTGCACCATCAGACTGCTCGACGACTCGGAGGTGATCGAGTGCGAGTTCCAGGTGAGCATAATAACAATCCCTCGGCACATTTGCATCTGTCAAAACGCCGTCGGCCAAACCCACCCAATCCTCCAATAGATAATTTAATTTTAATTAGAGAAATGACTGGCCTCAAGTTTTATTCGATTGAAGGGAAAATGATCAAAATTCGCACACAAATAATATGATTGAAGCTTTATTTTGAGGAAAATATTTTCAAGAGAAATTAAATCAGTGTTTATTTGCATTGTTTTTAAGTTTTCTCAATTGCGATTAGCAGGAAAAAAAATTTAATCTTTAATTACTTGGTTCTGCTTTTTACGTTGAAAATTTTCTGATCTCTTGCAATATTACATTCAAATTTAATTATTTTCTTTTACTATTTTATTAAGTTCCTATTCTCAATAAAATTTAATTTGAAATCAACTTTTGCCTTATGGAATATTAGAATTAAAGATATTGTAGGCTCTCAAAGATTATAGTTTAATTTTCATTGCTTAAATTTCAATCAAAATATTTAAAATGGATACAATCCAAAGCAAAACATTTTGTCACTTTTCAGTTTTAGTAATAAATTTTGAAATGTTGAAATTTGTGATGGTGAAAGTGTTGATATTTACCTACTAAACTGCAATTTTTGATTTTTTTTCCGTGAAAAAATTGCAATTTATGCCACGATACAAAAATTGTGAGTGCTTCTGTCGAAAAGAGACACTTGGGGGCGGAAACGATAGAATTTCGGGCGAAAGCACTCAATGGGCACCCGCTGACTTTTTCCATTGGTAAATTTTTAGATGGAAATCGATTGTGTGTGTGAGCCAGTCGCTTGTACCCATCAAGCTTAAGTGTCTCCATCCATTGTATTTGGTTATTAGAATTGTGCCTGGAAAACGTTCCGCTCACAGAGAAACAAAAAAGTGAAAAAAAAATTGATAATTGCAATAATTGCTACGATCCAGCGAACTGGAAATTTCCAACCAGGAACAAAATTTACTTTGCGGTTGAGAATGTGACGGATCTATCTATAAAAAGCAAGCAACTGCATAGCTCTGACTGAATAAATTCTACAAACTGAAAATTAACTGGAAAATTCCGATCAAAATTAACGTCCTTGGGCTTCGCTACGGCCGCAACGGTGGCCACACTTTGGCTTACCAGATCGGCGACACCAAAAACCGCAAATTGCACGCGAATTTTGCAAGTGCACCCACAGCTAATTGAATGATCTGCAAATATTTGCAATGATCTCATCCTTTTCACTGTAAAAATTTAACGATAAAAAATTGCATTGTATTCGCTGAAGCAATGACTTGCAACATTAAATTTTTCGCTCCGACCAAGCCAGCAGTGGTTTCCTGTTTGGTCATTCCGCATCGCAAAAAGCCCGACGTGTGTCCGATCGGTGCAGATTTTCGCCAAACTAGTTTGCAAAGTTCCAAAATGAGATTAAAAGTTTGCAGTGTGCAGTGCCTTTTAATCTTCGCCCCGCCGGGTCAAAAGATTTATTCTGCAACTTAAATACTTTCCTGCAGACTTTGTCAGCTAGCCGGTCGCTCCAATTAAGTCGTCGCATCCATTTCAATAAAGTCGCAAACAAGCAGCTGCGGTGACCCCTTAAGTGGAAACCGCCTCCAACTCTCGCCAAACTCGAATTCGAAGTGGCTCAAGGTGAGCAAAGGTTGAAGTCCTTTGTTCCGAGCGGAAAGGTTTTCTTAAAAGGACTGCAATAACGTAGTTTAGAGTTGAAGTTTTGTTTTATTTTTATAAATAACAAATTTGTACATTTTTTATGGCGGATAATGATTATTAAAAATTTGTTCAAATAAGATAAAATCGTGAAAAATAAAAAATTTCCGCGGGGTGAAATGAAAGAAAATTGGGCATTCTAGATGATATTATTATTTTTTTCCTCTTAATAGTGGCACAGATGGATAAAAATAACAAGCTTTAATCAAAACTATTAATTGAGTTATTAACAAATTAATAATTATGTAATTTTTTATTTTTTTTAAATAATTTTACACAATCCCAATTTTATTTTCACGTATTTATTACACTTTTTATTAATTTTTATTTTATATTAAGTATTCCATTTTTTTAATAGTCTATTTTGTGAACACCGTGAATACTATTTTAATAATTTTTTAGTATTTGTAAATAATTAAACTTTTAATAATTACAAAGTCCAATTGCAAACAATATAATCTAATTATTCAATAGCATCAACTTTGCCAAAATTAATGTAAATAATTATTAGGAGAAAGAAAATTTAAATATTCAACGAGCTATTTTATTTAAAATAATGAAAATTCAACGTTGCCCAATAAAATAGCAAAGTTTTTCTTTGTAAAAGTGTGAGAAAAATATCTTACTTTGGTCTTGCGTATGAACCAGAATAACACATTCATCAAAGATCTAATGTCAGAATAAAATTTTGATGAAATAAAAAACGACTTAATCCATCCACCAAGAAGTGCAAAGAGCAAATACTTTCAACCGATGCTCACTGCAGCGGACGCTGGGGTCTTTTTGATCTCGGAAGTTTAAGCAAAATGTTTGCTAGTGAAGGCGCCTTTTATTTTTGCAATCAATGTTTCTCTCCCAACAATTATTTTGCAATACTTTTTTTTATACTTTTGGATATTGAAATAGAAAATATTAATTACCAATTATTAATTCTTACCACAAACAAAGTTATGAAGTAGGAGTAATAAAATTACTCGTTGGATCAAATTTGGATCATTAATTATTTTCAATGGCAGATTTATGCCGAGCAGCTTGTGTTGTGGTCTAACAAGACCCGCGGGCGCGCGAATTAAGGGCTGCAGGCCCTCGACCGCGGGCGGCATTGGGGTGGTTATTGATCAGCTGCAGCCCAAGCCACGCCACATCCCTTGAGCAGCGTGTGCTGCCGGGCCTAATGGGCTGACTGCTCACTATGCCGAAATGACTCCACTTTTCAGCTCTCGTCAGACTCGCTCTCTTTCGATGAAAGAAGCCTTGTTTGCATTATTCAGCGCCGCATCTTTGACACACACACGCGCGCTGCCGCTTAAGCTCACTTTTGTAGCCACTGCACCAAACCCTTTCATAGGCGCGCTCTCGTCGAGCGAGACAGAATTGATTAGGAGAGCAGAGAGGGTGTCGCTCTTGTTTTGCTTGTCGGTTTTTGCAGACCTAGTGGGGCTTTCGAGTGAAAATGGGCGAAAAGGCGGAGAAAATTGGCAAGGGCTTTCATATGAGGAATTAACAAGGGTGACAGTGGAATTAATTCTGACACACTATACCCACTTTATTATGTGAAAATTGAATTTGTCTTTCTATTGTAGATTCAAACTGGAGGCAAAATTAATTATTTTGACTTAAAGTTGTGGAAATTTGACTTAAAGAAAGTTTGTTAAAAGTGAAATAATGAGGCTTGAATTTAGCGATATTTTAAATAATAGTAAAGTTTTTAAACAAAAATTCAGAATAGATGTAGATGAGATTAAAGCTTTTGAATTTGATTAAATCTGATATTCCTCTTAAAATTGTTAAAATTTAGTTCAAACTGCAAAGAATGTTATTAAAAAACTTCTCAACACATTTGAAGTTTTCTGAATCAACTGAAATAAGTTTAATTAAATAATTAATTATTTTTCTGTTGAAAGTTGAAAGTTGAAAGTGTTACAGCGGCTCTTATTGTAGAAAATCGATAACTACTAAGTTTTGTTTGAAATGGAAATTGCTTTTAAAAAAATTCGGAAAAATTCGCATCATCAGATATTAGTTTTAGGAATTGAATTTACTTTCCACAAGCACCGGAAAAATTGGCTTTCAAAACACCACCAGATCTTGTGCAAATCATAAGTGTCATTTCCAGCCCCATTTTAAATCTTTAATCAAATTGGGCATTTTCACGAATTAAAATAGATGGTAAATTTTGAACATTTTTAGAGCATTTTTTCTTTAAAAAAATGACGTCTTATAATTTCATCTTTACCGATTTATAGAACTAATCTGCTTAAGTTTTTATTTAGAGAAACATTATTTTGTTTTCTTATCACACAAACGTTAATGTAAGATGAGAAAATTTGAAAACAATCGTTTAACTCTCTTTGCCGATTTTTAGTGCAAACGATTTATAGTTTTATGGCCGATGACGGCCATAAAACACAGAAAACAATATCGCGAGATCCCAAATACAGTCATGTTGCACGCACGTCCATTTTTTTGCCCTTCCCCAATATATATTCATTCCACCGCCAGTTACAATTTTGTCCGTTTTTCCGTTTCGAATCGAATTTTGGACCATTTTTCTTTCACCTGCCTCTCACGATTGAAAACAAAAAACAACTGATTTTACTGCTGATTACGTTGCTGGCAGCGAGTTTCGAGAAGTCAGTGACTCTTTGGTCGCGCGGCAGCTGAAATTTTAATGCTTATCGATAGTTATCGTGGTGCCTCCGGGTCGCTATGTTACGAGGTCATTAAAAAATAGTGCGTTATTATTGTAACGGCTAAAACTGGTAATTAGATCGCTAAAATTTTATATGATTATTTTTCCAATTTTCCATCCACATAATGACAAGCCTAATCAGAGTTTGCACAACTTCAAATTTTGGAAAAACCGGAAAAACCATTAAAATAAAGTGGGCAAATTATGAAAATTGATATGTATATTTGAAGATATTTCTAAAAAAAAAAGCTGGAATATAATTCTAAGGAATTTAATTTTATTTAAAACGTAAAAACATAAAATATTAATAGTTAAACCTATTTTTTAATTGATTATATTTTCAAAAACGACCGAATATGAGAGTTGCTTTTGTTTGTACCCCAGGAAAAAGTTATAATTCAGTAATGACCATGCCATGACACACTGGTGGGTCGTAACTCAAAGTGAAAAAGCAGACAAGTTTCACCAGTCTTTTAGTGGAGATGTACGTGTATTTTATGGCCCAAAAGACACACCTGTGAGCCGACCAGCCGCACTTTATATTTTCCAGAGAAACATTACCTATTTATGGACCCTCAGAGGTATTTGCATATTTTTCACGGGGCTTAACGTCCACGGGTGGAAACCATAAATGTTTGCTGAATTTTGAAACCTTAGCTGAATTATTAATTATTTGATTAAAAATTAATTCAGAGAATACTGAATATGAAAAAAAAAATCCGGCAGCAATATACGAACTTAAAAATTTCGGAAAAATTGAGAATAATTATATTCAGATATCCGATCACATTTTTTTTTAACTAGAGCTACTTTTGTTTGAGGACTTTGTCAATCTAATTATATCCTACAAAGATAGAACTTTGTTCTGCACACTGTAGCAACTATTTTTGCTGACGCGCCACGCTTTTTAAAGGGAAGTTATTACTACCCTTTTTGTGCTCGCATATAAAATTGGTATGTACTGTACCTACATGTGGGCAATTTAAAATAGCTGCAGACCCTTTCTTCTTTTCCCCGGAAGCGGCGGCGGCGGGTCGCTCTAAAACTTTTAACGATGATGGATGTACCCTTTCACTCCCAACCGCATTAATATGTGGTTTTACTTTTCCTAATCGAACAATGCGCCAATCAATATTAATTAATGAAACGAGTCGCGCGGGATACGCCCCCGATTCCACGCCTGCACGCTCATTATTCATTCGGGTTATTTATGAACGGACAAACAAATATTTCTCACGACCGATCATATGCGAATGGTTAATATTTTATAAAAGGAAGGCACCACCCTTTAATCATGACATAATATTAATATAATCTCTAGTTGCAATATTAAAAAAACCCGCTACAATGCTCTTAGGTGCTAAAATGTGTTTTTCACCGTTTTATTTTCTGAAATGTACAAAGTTTGATATCAATTTTATTTTATAGAGATCTAGATTTTTTAATCCATAAACGTCCTCCCCTTGCCAACGGAGTGTTTCCTGTGGAAATACCAGATAACACGGAAATGATCCATCAATGTGGCTTGGAGTTTTTGCCAACCATCTACACGCCATTCGTTAGAATTTGGAATAAAAAGAGCTGCATAGGCTTTACTGGAGAAGTCAAATTGGTGAAAATGATACAATTTGTATTATGCAATGCTAGAGATTAGAATATTAAATCAACTGCTCATGTTTATTAAAAATAAACATTTTACTCTATAAGAAGGGATTCAAAATTTTTTTATCACTAAAATAATCTATTTGTTACAAAAGTTGAGAGCTAAAATTATCTATTTCTTTTTATCTTAAGCTTACATGAGGATAATAATTTATATATTACCAAAATAATCATTCAATGTTGTTTCTATTATAAAAGTAATTTATTTTTCAAGAAAATCTCAGCACTCATTCTTTTTAATTAACGCATTCGGCCCATTGAAATTTATACAGATCTGATACAGATAAATTAAATGCAATTCCTGCAGTTAAAAGAAAAGTAGTATTAATTGTATTTATCATAAAATAAACTTGAAAACAAAATTAATCAGCTTCACAAGTTTGCAGAAACTTAAATAAAAAATTTAAGTACAAAGTCAATTAGGAAAGTTTTGTTAGGCGAGTAATTGCACTTCAAAGCAGTGTCCCCCGCGGCTCGCACATTTATACATCTGTCGTTTCGCCGCGTTTTACGACAACTTACAAGTACGCATTGACGATTTTGCGAGAGAGTTTCACGCAAGCCAAAAGCCGCCGGACTTGGGCGAGCGGAAGCCCTACACAGGAGAGCAGTCCGTGCCAGCCCGAAATGAAAATTATTTCTTTTCCCGTTGCGGAACAACTTTTCATCTGCACTGCGCCTACATCCCTATTTCTCTGTGGAAGAGTAATGAAATGGAAAAAAATAAACCAAGCGCTTCTGCGGGCAGTTTAGTGGCTTGTTTAAAATTAACAGACCTACTACAGACTCTTAACAGTTTTAACTCTATATTTAACAATAATGTGCCCAAATTAATAAAACATATTAAGCTGTTTCCTCTGTTTCTTTTTCAATTTATTTTTTTCTTACAGTATTGACAAAAGAAAAAGATAAAGGGCGGTGTAAATTTAAAAATTACCACTTTTTCGGAACTTGTTTACAAATTAATTTAAAAATGGCATGATAAATCTGTAGACTAATTTTTGGAAACAATTTGGTACGAGAATTCTAGGTAGTCATTGAAATATTCAAATGTAATTCTAAAATATGTTTTTTTTTAAATTTTGCGTTTAGAACTAAGATGAAATTTTAAATTTTTTTTAGTTATGTAAAAAACTAAAAATTAAAATATTTTTAGTTGCAAATTGTGTTTAAACATTTAAATTTTTATTACAAACTAAAATTTGTGCTCATTAATTAAATTATACACATAATTGATTTGAAATTTAATTATTTTTCAATAATCAAGTTTTTTGTGCTGCTATAAACGAAAATAATTATAAACGATTAGTTTGCTACAATAATTATATTTTTTCACATTAATATCATGCTTTTCTTCATTGCTGCAATCGCCGTTTCCTCATTCCCTTTGCATTCATGTCAAATGTGAATTCATACACTTTAATGTATATATACGTGTGCGTGTATGATGTTTGCCAGTAGCCAGCGTTGTCTAATGCACGAATTTTATTGATTTGCCCGCAGTCGCATCACAAAGGAAAATACTTGCTCGAGTTCGTGTGTCGGCAGCTGAACCTCATCGAAAAGGATTACTTCGCCCTGCGATATGTCGACGCCAACAAGCAGAGGGTGAGCAAAACGATTTCCTCTTTTTTCCTCTCTATAATTTATTGGTCTGTCAATCGGAACCAAAAACATTTTCCACCGATGAACAGCAGCAAAGTGCCGCAAGGAGCAGAATTATTGATTGATTTGATTTCTGTTCGATAAGAATTTATTATACTGATGATTTATGGTTGTTCGCGTTTAAAACCATTAAAACATGTCAAATAATTTAAGTAGCTTAATTATTTTCAAAACGAGATTTTTTAACTAAAGAATTTTCATTTAAATGGAAATTTCTTAAATAGAATTTACCATCATAGAATCAAATCATTAAATTAAAATTTTAGTAAATGAATCACAATATCTTAATTAAGAGTTTTTTTTTTATTTGATTCATTTCAAACAAGTGTAAATATTTGTGTTTTTAAATTAATTGTGAAAATAAAGCGCGCTAAATGATTTTTATAGGTGTATCATATCTAAAATTATTTTAATTTGTCCCTATAAATTAGGTCTCAAATTAAAGCACTTTTTCAACAAAAATTGTTGTGCTGTGTCACGCACCACATTTCATTTTGAGAGAATAATTCTAGCTATGTTTATTTGCTTTCTTTTAATCTTTCCATACAAGCGATGCGGGATAACACGTTTTATCACATAATACACTTGTCACAACGGCTCTCACGTGACCAGCATGCAGTTTTATTTACACAGACACAGACCTGTTGTTTTGTTGATCCTCGAAGGCTTCAAATATTTGCCCAGGATCTGCAATGCCTAATTAAAAAAGAGTTAAATCATTATCCTCTCTAGAATAAATATAATTATTTATCGTCAATCGATAACAATTAAAAGTCAACTTATTGTAAGTTCAAATTTATCGTATCTACAACCAGATTAAAAGAATGATTTTTTTTTAATAAATTCATATCAAGCATTTACACACTTTCTTCTCTGGATTAAATTGCATAAGGGTGACCACACCCTTTCGCTGACTTTGGTGCATTTTTCAAATGCATTTGTGGGAGAGAGACTATTACGTGCATAATAATTGCTCCGCTGCATGGCTTTGATGGTATCTCGCCGGCCAGCCAGGTAATTTAAATTCAAGGGGCCACTCATTATTATTGTCAAAACAACAGGAAACACACTCCAACAAAAAGGGGCCGGGTCTCTGCTTTTTGGCTTTGGATTTATTAAGGCACGGTTTGGTTCAGAACTTGCTATCTGGCTGGTCAATAAAATTAAAGTTGAATTTTTCTCGAGGGAAATCGGCCGGGGATTGTAAAGTTTTTGTGCGTGCAGCGCCCTAAAATCTAATAAACCTTGGCCTTCTCCGACTTGAAACACGCAAACGAAGCAATAGTTTTACCGTGGTGGTTTTTAGTTTTTATAAAATTATTGCAACACTCTGCAGGTTGGGTTTTATTCGATCTGGCCTCGTCGGTTAAAACCTCTTGTGTAAGCCGATTCAATTAGCAAGATGAGAGTGAGGCTGCGTATTGTTTTGCCCGCGTTTATGATAATGAGCTCGGTAACAGGGTCGCGGTTTTGGTGGTGCTGCAACCACTGCAAACAGAGATCTCTTGAACAATGGGTAGAGCTCAACTGCAATTCTGTGAACAAAGAAAAAATACTCTTAACAATAATTAGGATATAAAAATTTCAAAAATTTCATCGAATATCGTTTTGAATGTAACAATCGCTCTCAAAACATTTTCAATTGATAGTAAAAATACTAAAAATTCATTAAAAAAATTTATAAGACACCCAGACAAATTGTTTGACTTTACTAAGAAAATTAAACGAAAATTTGAACAGTTTTTAGAGTTAATCAAAATAAATGTACCAAAATGAACTGTTGAAAAAATATATGTAATTAGGAAATAAATTGTTGATATTGTAAACATACGACCTGCAACACTTTCTATTAGGATGCTCAAAAAATAGATAATTTTACATTTTATTTTTAATCAGATAATGTAATGTAAATTGTATTCAATTTTAAACACTTTCTCAGCAGTATAAAAGCATCAATTATTTACTTTTTAAAAATTTAGAAAATCGAATCATTTTCTTTGCTGTACAGAGGCAATTTTTGCAATTTTTATCAGTGAAATGATATAACAGAAAAGAGTGCCACGACTGCAGGATGCTGATGCCGTTGCAACCAGAGATCCTGTTTGCGTCACTGCAATGCATCATTTATTCAAAAGCAACTCGCTTGCTGATACGTGTATATTTGCAAAGAACAGCAGAGCAAGATGATAGCACAACTTGTCGCCGCGAAAAGCGACGGATCAGCGTGACTGAGCCGCTTTTTCGTGTCGATGAATGTTCCAGACGTGCACTTTCCTCCACGTTTGTGCTCACATATAATAAAAACCAATTTCGCTCGGCAGCTCGGAAATGTGATTAAAGGGCAAAACGATGAGTTTGGATGCACATCTACTTGCTTGAGTTGTTATTGCAAAGGCAAGCACAAGCTTGTTCAAAAGCATCACGCTGCGGCAAATCGAGTTTCATTAATAAAGAGCGAGCGCCTTTTAATTCAATGAAAGGCATTTTATTATTCAGAAACTACATTTCGTTTTCATTTTTCGTGTGAAAAATTTAAGTAACAATCTTTTTTAAATCAGAAATATTGAGTTAATCGAAATGATTTTTTAATTTATTATTGTTTGTTTTTTATTCTTCACAAATCAAGCCAAAATGAAAGAAATTCAGCATTTGCAAAAATTCGCCTGAGCTTCTCTTGATCAATATTCATCTAACGATTTCAATTTTAATCGATGTACATGTGGGCGTATTTTTTATCATTTTGACAAAATAATTGAAGCATCCAGGTCTGAAGTCAGTCATATATTTAATCTTTTAATTACACAAAAAAACCAAAAGGGAATATGATTACATTTTGAAAAATTTAATGTTGTAACCAAAAGGGTTAATAAATATGAATATATATTTTGAAAAATGAAGTAACATTCACATCTGGTCTTCTTTTGGGCTAAAAAGGAACAAAATTAAAGCCAAGTGCGACAATAACCGTCGCTTGGAAGGAGATCGTCTGCAGAACAATTACGCCCAAGCCCGCCGAGATTGAGGCATGCAAGCGAGAGAGACTTCTGTGATAAAATGAAATAATGAGGAGACGGGGAATTGCTTTGCTGGAAGCGAAATAATAATCGTAATAATATGACGTCGGTGCATTTCAAGCTTGAAACAAACACACAAAAAAGGTTCATTTCTGGGAAAAAGGAATGCACGTATAGATGAGGGAAGATGAGGCCTGATGGATATCAGGCACGCTAGGGTTTATTATTACACGCACAGTGTTAAAAACTTTCGTTTCAACTTCATTTTGTGTTGGAAATATTTTATAGGACCAAAAATATACCAAATTATGATCAGGATGATCAATTTAAATGAAAATGTTTATCAATATAATTATTAAAAATAATACGAAACTGTTAGAATCAGCAATTTTATTTTATAAAAGTATGCATGCGATAATTATTTTTGTTTGTTTTTATTTATGAGTTTCAAGAATAAACTATAATTTTTAAATTATAAAAACACAAAAACAATTTAAATTATTTATATTACAAAATCGCTCTAGAAATCATCCTTTTCGGCATCTTTTATTTATAAATTAGGGAAACATTAAAATTAAACAAAATATATCACCAATGCACATGCCATTTTTTAAACATGTATAGTCTTCAATACTATAATAGTATTGCACTTGATATAAATCGTCTCAAGAACCTTAATATTTAGTATGTATAAGGAACACGGGCTCTCTAGTGAAGACATGCGAGCCAAAATCCTGCTGATTAGGCTCCGCAAGTTGGCAATGCGATCTGTCACCATGTGATATCTATTTGAGAATGAGCGTTAGCTAAAGGTTTATTTAAGCCTGCACGAAAACTTGTTGGCCCTTTCGCCGCCCGGCGCGATTTGTCATTATCGCCTCGCGAGAGCCACGCCGACGGCTGCTGTTCGATTCATTATCGCAATTCGTCTTCTCGCGCCTCATTTCGCATGAATTTATTGATCGTGTTTGTGCATGCACCGGCACAGCTGCGGCTGACGCGCCGATGAACGGAAATTTACAACTTGACAGCGGAATTAACGCGATTAGTTTGGCTCTGATTGTTAAATTCCAGTTATAATTTTTGATTCAAAAAGAATTAGATGAAAAGTTTAAACTTGGATGGAAAATTCACATTTGATTAATTCCACTTTTTAGTTTACCTTAATTACCTGCACATATTGTATTTGTTTAATTTAAACTGGATGAGAGGTAAATGTAACTTTTTTCTCCAACTAAACTTCAGTACAAAAATGGCAGTTAATTAATTATGTCTTGATTTTCGAATGAAAACGATGAGAGAAAGATATCATTTGTTCTGTAACTAATTAGCAGCAGGAAAAAGGAAGTTAATTTACATAGAAATCCTCAAAGAATAATTTTTAGAGTAATAATTCTACAAAAATTTAAACTTCTCAACCCCTCAAATTTCAACTCTTTGTATAAACAGGGAAAAAATCAGAAAGTAAAAATTTATATACAGATTTCTTTCTTTCTTATTTCTTTATGAAGAAATCAGTAATATTTCAATATTTATGCTATTTAAATGAGCAAAAATAAATTCTAAATTGATTCATAAACATAAACTTTGCCTTTTTTGTTAAGCAATGCAAAACTCAACAAAAGGTGCCTCATTGCAGAGCAAAGCTCCGGCGTTTACGAATTTGAATGATAAAGAAACCGGAGGCCCTGCCTTCTGCCTCTGCTTTCCATTCAGAACCAACAACGCTTGCTAGTCTTGAAAAGTTGCCGGCGTGTTTATGATCTTCAACTTCTTCTCCTTGCTTCTGTATATATTTGACGATACTCCAGTTTTGTTGGTTCTTCCTGTAGCCCAACCAGAAAAAAAGGAGCCTCTCGCGTTCAGCCGCCTGCAGAGAAAATCAATTTGGGGCTCTCTCTTTTCCTCACTTCAGGACAAAAAGAGTAGAAAGCAAAATCCAGGCTTGATTCTATTTGCAATCGTCTATCTCCGCCTCAAACTACCTAAAGAACTCTAACTGATTGTTTTTATTTATTTTCACCAAGAGGCGACTTTGGCGCGGTTTTTCTCTCAAGTGGTCAAACGGAAGAAGCAGAAGAGATGCAAAGGAGGTGAACGAACTCGCTGCCATTGTGAGTCTGCGGTGCATGGGAGTGAGAAAAATCGTGCTTTTCCCTCCTCTGTGCATCTTCCGCGCCTGGTGCACCTTGGAGCGCGGATCGTTTCTTGTTTTTTCACACAATTAACGGCGAGAAATTCTACCACAAAAGCCTCTTGAATTGTGCCTTGTATAGTAAAAGGGCAAGAAGGAACTCGATTGTTTTTTTTTTTTTTGCTTAGATGAAAAACGGATAATCTCTGTCTCAATAATACCCATTTGGACTTTGGACTGGTCTTTTTTTTGGAAATCTTTTACTTCTCATTAATATGCTGAAAATTTTTAAAGTTTTGCATGAAACAAAAACCGAAGACAAATTTGCATAATGCACTTAAAAAAAAATTTGTACGTTATCAAACTTAATCACATATTTATAAATTATTATGTAACAAATTATAGGAATTGCGAGTTATAATTTTTTTTATTCAAACAATTTTTTTTTCATAATAATTTAAATTTCTTTAATAATTTTGTATTAAAATGAATTAAATATAAACAAAAAGCTAAATTTATATCTGCAATTTTTTTTTATTTTTAAAATCAATTTTAATGCAATAAAAATTACGTGCACTCACTGAATGATACATGAGATCACATGAGATACTAAAAAGTTCTTAAATTAATTCAATCAAACAGCATTTTTGTTAATTTTTGCAATCAGATATCTAGAATAATAATATATTAGAAATTTATTGAGGAGTATTTATCCAAAAATAGTTTATAATCATTAACAGTTGCTTTTTTATCATCAAATTTTAAAAAAGCCAGTCACCCACTTATGTATTTTTAACGAAGATTAAACGCAGTTTTTTAATTAATGCCCACCATCTGTTGAGGGCGTCACGAAAAAAAGATGAAAACTGGTGTCGGTGTTCTGAAACGCGTAACAGCTGCCACCCTTTCGTTTTCAGAGATGCAGCACCGTGTGTCGTGTGTCTGTCCATTAAAGTCGATCAAACGCGACGTTAAAAAACATTTCGGGCAAAACTGAGCGCTATTTTGTGAATCGTGAGCGAGCGGCGGCACCACCAATATAAACTGGCGTGGTCTCTGTGACACACTTGAGCAGAGCACAATTCCCGGCGCGTCCGCCAAATGGGTGGAGCTGGAGGGAAAAAAATAAATTTAATATTAGGGCATTTGCATGAGAATGAATGAAACATGATTCGGACGGAGAAGAGCTGCGGCCAAGCAAATTTGGAGCGTGCGACACTGTAATGGAACAAACTGCTTTGCATTTTGACAAATGTAAATTAATGTTCGGCCTGAGTATCTGCCTCAGCATGTTGAAGGGAGTAGAATTTTTAATTTAAATCGATTTAAATATTTATTACAGGGTTTAAATTTTAAATTTGCTAAAATAATAATAAATAGTTTTTGAAAAACTGTCATTCCTTCCCTTAAATTATAAAAATTCATTCATTTGAATTTATTGAGGTCGTGCATGTATTTAAAATTTGATGGAACAGGTATTTTTTCTATATGAAATTTTTATTATGTACAACTTAAAACCAAACGTATGGTATCTGCTCATTTTTATGTTTGGAATCAGCTGCGGATGCAAAAATTTTAGGCATAAAAATGATTAAATAAAAAAATAAATAAATAAATCCAATAATTTATTTTTATAGAAGACTGAAATTTAACTGATAAATTAATTTCATAAAAATTTTTTCCTGAAGTTTCTAATAAGAAAACTTGAATTTTAGTAGCACCTTCTATATTCAATCCCTTTCATGACCGTGGCTACTCTTGGAGATAAGATAAAATCAATATTTCAGCACTGAATGAACTTTTTCTGCCGGCTCTTCATTATTCAATCGTGGTCACGTGCGCCGTGAATGTACAATCGATTTTTCTAAAGTTCCCGACGGACCATCTCTTCCCCTCCACATTATTTAATTTTGAAATGAAAATTCGTCAACCGCAGTTTGTTTGTTTAATTGTAAAGGTCTATCGTGCCAAAAAGCATTAGGGCAACACAAACATGAATATTATGCAGTTGCAAGTAGCACTTTGGGTGGGTCGGCGGACTGACTATTGACCCCAGCCACGGCGCTCGCTCGACCCGAAAGGGCTGCAACCACTCTGACAGATCAATCTGCCAGTCTGCATTAGGCTCATTTCTGCAGGCGGAAAGGAAAAATCATGTTCTGATACCTTTTTGTCGCCTGACTATCAATTAATTAAAAATATTTTGAGCAAATTCTAATCAGAGATTTTTTTAAACCAATTTTTAATTATTATTTCTTTTTGAGAAGAAATTGAACAATTTCCATATTATTAAAATTTATTAATTATGTTTTAATAATAAACTCTTTAATTAAACAGGATCAAATTATGAATATTGATAAATATAAAAATTTAAATTTGTCGTTTTTTCTGTTCACAGCATTGGCTGGACCCAGCAAAGACTGTTCTCAAACAAATCAAAGGTGAGTTTATTTGCTAAATTTTGATGAGATAGTTTAATCAAATTCAATCAAATGGAAATTAGGAAAAACAAAAAATCGTCGCACATTATTTGGCAGGAAATTAAGTAAATTCAATTCCTTCATGCAAAAAATTATTTATTTTGGAACTCTTTTGTGAAGCAAGTAATTTTTGTGTCACCAGAGTTGGACCCGATCTTGTTCAGCTTCCGGGTGAAGTTCTACCCTCCGGACCCGTTCAAGTTGAAGGAGGAAATCACCAGGTACCAGTTGTATCTGCAGCTTCGCAGAGATCTGCTGCACGGCCGACTTTATTGCTCGGCACCAGAGGCAGCCCTCCTTGGCGCTTACGTTATTCAAGGTTTGTACGCGCGTACGCGCCTATCGATTTCCGCAAGAGTGCACGATTTTGGCAAGAAGCGACTCCCTTTTTCGCACAGAGACCACACTTTCAAAGGCAACCCTATAATCTGTAGGCCTAGGTACAGGAAATAGAAAATAAAGAAAATATTGAATTAACAAAATTTATAGTTTCAGATAAAGCACTTTTCAAAGTCAGGCAATTTTATTTAGGAATGAACATATTTTCCACATTAAATTCATTTTGTTCAGATTTGGTTAAAAAGTATTTTTTTACAAATTGATGTAAAATTAATTAATATTTAGCTCATTGAAAAATGGAATATTTTTTAAAATTTTCAGGGCCTCCATTGTAGAGTTGCGTCCATAGATCTAGCCACTTATTTGTCCCATTTTATTTTTTATTCTTTTTCTTTTTCTGTTGAATCTCATTCCTAATATATTGAATCTGATCTTACAGGGGACCTGGGAGACTATGACCCAGAAGAACACGAAGGAAACTATGTGGCGGAACACAAGCTTCTGCTGAAACAGACCATCAAAATTGAAGAGGACATTATGGAGCTGCACCAGACTCAAATGCGAGGTCAGTCTCCAGAGACCACCGAAACCAACTTCCTGAGAAAAGCCTACCAGCTAGACACGTACGGTATCGATCCGCACCCTGTAAAGGTGGGTTTGGTCCCAAAATCTATAATTCAGAACTAAACTTTTTTGTTCCTGTCCTGCAGGACCATCGTAGTAATCCACTGTATTTGGGAATCAATCACAGCGGAATTATCACACTCCAGGGCAGCAGAAAGACGAACCACTTCAAGTGGAATGAGGTGCAGAAGATCAACTACGAGGGCAAAATGTTCATTATCCATCTGGTCTTCAATGAAGATCCAAGAAATAAGGTGAAGTTTAAAGCAAAATGAGATCAACTGACATAAATTATTAAAAAAAAAAAGGATTTTTTGGTTGATATAAATTCCGATAAATTCATTTGGAATGTGTGTAAAATTAAAAAAAGAAAAAAAATTAATAATTTAATTTTGTAGAAGAAGCACACCGTTGGCTTCAAATGTCCCTCTAGTTCAGCGTGTAGACACGTTTGGCGATGTGCGGTGGAGCAAATGTTGTTCTTCACGTGAGTTTACTTTTTTATAGCGCACGTTTTTAATAATTTTAGATTCATTAATTAACAAATTAACAGGTTGCAATCGTCATCGGAAGCACCGGCTGTCGTGTCTGGTGGCGGTTTGTTCTCGTGGGGCACAAAGCTGCGCTATTCGGGTCGCACAGAGAAAGAAATCCAGGAGGACATTGGACCTCTGAGGAGAGAAGAGCCGGCCATCAAGCGCACTGGAAGTCTGCGCCGCAAAGCGTCCAGTGTTCCCGCCACCCCTTCCACCCCCGTCGGAACTGAATTAGGAGATATTCGTAAGAAAATTCTTTCCACATTAAAATAAAATACATAATATGGTTAAAAATTATTAAAATTTGATAACTTATTTTTTGTTCCGTATGATAAATTTATATTTATTTATTAAGATTCTATTTTTGAAATGATTTTATAAAATTTGTTATTTTAACTTATCATCTTGTTTGGAGGTGACTTTTAGCTTATTAAAATTTTTTTAATTCTTTTGAGAATATATTTTCAAAAAATATCTCTCCCCAGATGGAACTTTTGCTGACAATTTTTTATATCATCCTATTAGATGAAATTTTAAGATAATGTAAGATTTTACAACTCTCCCTGATTTGTGTCTTCATCACAGGTTATGGCAGTCTTCCACGAGCCAATCACTCTGCCCCTGACACAAGACTGGACGGCTCAGGTCTGCTCAGTGGATCTGATCTCTCGTCTCCCTACTGTCCCGATGGCACCCTCCCTCTGCTGGAGACAGTGGCTGAGGACCAGGAGTTGTCGTCCAAGCCAAGAGGTAAGTCATCCTCTCTGTCACACACCTAGTTGTTTAATATTTTAAACCAATCACAAAAGTAGTTTTTGTGTCCACGTTGCGTGTTACTTACATTATTTGCAAAAAAACTCACTTATTTAATTTTGCATGAATATTTCAGCAAGCAATTTATTTTCTTTGAATTAATCAATTTAATTTACACGTTTTATATATTTGGTTCAGCACTTAAATGTAATTTTTTTCCATTTTTTTATTTTTTCCAAAATTGGACATTCTCTTTTCACTTTAAAGTTGAAATTGAATCTCTATCTGTTTTAAAATCCCTTGCTGTGTGTTTTTAATTTCTGTGTCTCATCTCTCGTCATGACAGCCGATGAACAAGCGGCCACTGAACCTAAGCATGTTGTGCCTGAGCATGAACATTCTGTTCCAACTCCTGCCATTTTGATCTCGGAGGCTTGTAACGAGGAGGTTGTTAACAATGTTAACACCGACGAGGTCAAAAATGAACCCAAATCTAATGGAGACGTTGTTGAAATTGCTAAAGGTAATTAACATGTGAAGCAATAATTTTAATTACTTTTTTAATATATATTGCATAAAAAAAAAACAATTTTCAACATTGGTTCTATCTTTCCTAATAAATTTAAATTTAAAGGCGTAGTTCAATTGAGAGAGAATGTATTTAGAAACTGCATTAGTGAGCAAATATTAAAATTGTTTGTTCGGTAAAGTATTGTAGAGACTAGAGAGGTGTCGGTTTGTGCAGGATTGTGAAACATATGATTCCACACTTCATTTAATGTTTTAAATTAACCTAGCGTAAATCTTATTTTTAACTTTTTAAGGATATTAATACTATTTTTTAATTATTAATAATACTTGAGGTAATGAATTGGTTATGAAACATATTTCTAGTTGCTTTAAAAACTGATCTAGTTTAAATTGAAGTTACTTGCCTCAATTTATGATTGAAAACTAAAAAAATTCTTTGTAAATAATTTTATACTTAGACAAGACATGATCAAAACTAGAAGATAGGCGTGCATACACATCACAGCAAGAAATTTTTTCATAAATGCAAGCTGCATGCCAAGTATAATATCCTATGTACTATAAAAATTTTGCTGACAGTTAATGCTTAAATGAATAAAAAAGTTAAAAATTCTATCAATAAGAATTAAACTTCACAAAATTAATTTTTTATCAATGTTTCATAACATTTTTGTGTGTGCCATATTTCAATTTTATTTATTGTTAAATATTTTGTAACCTATATCAAAATATTGTAAAACCTTTATCTTTAGAGATAGATTTATTCAAAAAAATATTTAGGAGCAATTGATTCTCCTCAAAGATGTACCAAGTTAGTGTTATCAAGTCAGGGTGATTAACCGTGTAGATCCTTTGCTAAATGATCTGCCTTTTGCAGGAGTGGACGAGGGTGGACACCCTCCACTGGGCTACGGCGACTACTACTTCCGCGACTCGTTCGAAATGAACGCCCCCGAGATGGAGGTGAAGAGTGGCCGGGGCGCCGGCCTGACCAACCGTGAGGGCCTGGCCCTGCAGCCGCACCCGGGGGTGGGCGCCGCCCCCGTCACCGGAGGCGGCAACCGGTCGTTCAACCTGCTCAGGGTGTTTGTGCCGTCGTTCCTGGCGGTCGCCCTTCTGTTGACAGTGGTGCTGGTGCTTGTGCTCGAGACAAACTCGGAGCTGTTCAGCGGGTTGCGCGCCCTGCCCGAAATCGTCATCCTGCGGCAGGAGTACTACGAGCCGGCCAAGGAGTTCTTCCGGCAGAAACTGGCCTCCATTTTTTAAAAGTGCCTCCTCTTGCCGGGGACCTGTTTTGTTCTGATTCTCAAACTTTTGCTCTGTAAATAGCTGCGGCCGTTTTTCATTCGAAAATGAAAAAAAAAATATCAATTTTCTCTCCGGCAACGGTGGCCAACAACCGAGTTTTATACTTTTACATGCGCTGACAATGAGTTGCGGTTCAAATACACTATTCAGATTATTTGTTTCCTGTGGTGAGAACGAGAGCTGGCGTGATTGCTAGGGAAGGAGATTTTTTTAAATGATTTGTTTTTAAATAATTTTATTGCATTTTAGTGGACAATATTTCACTTAAATTGAATTTGGGCAAGCTTTAATTAGTTTTTTAGTTAATTTTAGTTATTTCTAATGATTAAAAATGAATGACCAGTAAGACAGGCAAATTATTATTTTTAAGGATTTTCAGGCTTGTTCAGAATTTTACGGCCAAAGTTACTTTAAAAAATTCTGAGACAAACTGACTTTAAAATCATCACACGCTCTCTCTTTATTTCACTCATCATTCCAGTTTTGACAATTATTTAATTGACCGTTGATTCAATTATAATTTATTGCTATCATGTACCTGAAGTGCGAGGTATGTTTGCAGCAGGGAATTTCTCACCATCCTTTTTAATTTATTCCTCCTTTCTCTGCACTTTCTTCAACTAGATTCTAGTCTAGAACTTCTTAAGACCAAATTTATTAGTTGATTTAATAATTATTTTTATAAGCTTTTTAAATTTGGGTATTTTGAGCTGTGAATGGGATTTCGGTGGAAATTTTCATTTTTAAATAAATGAGTTGGTTTGAGTCGAGAGTATCATATTAGGTAAAACTTGCAAAGTTGTTGTAATCTGGTTTGGTGGTGTTGTGTGAACTCATAGAATGTATACCGATTGACCACTTTTTCTGTAAATTTTTCATCGATTTGACAATTAATAGTTTTCCTTCTGAAAATAGTAAGCATTTGAATCAAACTGAGACGAAATACTTCTTGAATAAAATATAAATATAGATGGTGAAATCTCACGGAGGACCACAAAGCAGACGAAAAAACATTGTATTAAATAAAATTCATGGGGGCGGGACGCAAAAAAATAAAAAAAAAATACTCGCTTGCAAAATTTCCCTAGAGCTTCTTGTAGATTTCGGGGTTTAGATAAAAACAGATAAAAAGAAACAAAAAATGTTGTGCGCAATAAAAAGTATTTCAGAATAAATTGTATAGCATCGTTTTGTTTTTATCTTTTGTAAGATATATACTAATTAAATCCGAGAGATTGTCAATTAAAATCCATCTTCTAGCAATACAGGCCAAACAAATGATGAATTAGAAACAAATTCTGTTTTGAAAGGTGCTTTTTAAGACAAAGAGATCAGAGGTAATAAAAATTTACGAATTTTTCAGCTTACGAAAATGGCTTTTTTAATTCTTATATCCTTAGCCTTACACGAGATGAAGTGGAATAGAAAATAAATTCACACTTTTCTTTTCTGCGTGCTGATATAGAGGACGTTGTTGCCTCTGATGAAAGCGTCGCCGTACTTGTTCTTCAGCTGTCCGTTCACATACTCCTCAGTCTGTTCAAGGGCGATGTTAAGGTAGCCATCAAGACAGGCCAACACCCCTGGAATAAAACACATATTCATGAAGGAGAAATTCAAATGAATTAAATAATAAAATTTATATAAATTTTCAAATTTAAAAAAAAAAATGAATGAAATCAATTTAAAATTTATTCTAAAAAAAATTGCCTAATTCCTGCATTTTTTAATTCCATCAACCAGATATTATTGCTTAGACCGAATTACGTACAAACTGTCGGGATTTAAACAGAGATGAAAAGTAAAGACGAGGTAGTGGCGAACAGCAAAAGTAGGCACGTGAGTTAGCCTCTATATTTTTTAAGTTTGGTGGAACAATTTTACTAATCCGAAAAGCGTTTTTGACCAAAATTAAAATCGGCACAATTTATCATTATTATAACTCCATAATAACGAAGACGGGACGTACTAACCTCTGTAATCGACGCCGCTGTTTAGTTTGACAACTACAGGTCTTCCGTGGATTTGCTGGATGAACTGCGCCAAAGCTTCTTTTCTGTTCATTTTGTCTCTGAAATGTACGAAATTACTCCAAGTACGGACGAATAAATAGAGCTACTTACAGGAGATTAGTTCACAATAAGGTACGAGCTTGATTGTATGGATTAAATCTCGTATTAAATGCAGATTTTACAAGCGTTCTCGGCTTTTGCTTTTTATTGTTTATAAATGAAAGTGCGCGATTCGTCCGCGCGACTGCAGCGCTACATAGAGGGAGCTAGGAGAGCAGAGAGCAGAGCTCTGCTTTGACGATCTGTACAGAGGCGCCGCCGTGCAATGCAGATTTTTTTTTATTTATCTCGACTGTAACAAAAACGGCTTCCTATTCCTAATTTAAGAATTTTTTGTCCTATAAAATTTTAACGCAGTTTTTTTCCGCCTGGCTGCACGAACTTCGCACTGTTCAGACGTTCAGATCGAAAACTTTAATTTGTAAACATATATTTGATAGTTTTTCCCTTTTAATTTGAAGCAATTTATTCTAAAGAACATTGGGCTTTTATCTAACAGCACAAACAGTACAAAAAATGATTTTTTTTTTAAGAATTCGCCAACATCATTGAATGAAAATGAAACACAGCAGTATTTCAGGCCCGCAAGGAAGGATATTGGGCTTGCACATAAAAGGTATGTATTATTATTATTATTATTAAGTAATTTTTTCAAAATTCTAACAACATACCATTCTTTTATGCGATCATTGGTTTATATTTTTATTTACCCGCTGGCAATGAATAGCGCATGTCAGTCTGTTGAATAATGATCGACCCAATCCACCCTCCGAAAGTGAATTTCTAAATTTAGATCGATCTCCCGTGAAAAGCGCGAACGTCAACGCCAAATTATGTCCAATAAACTGCAGAGCTTATATAATTTAAAGCGAAATACGGAATCATTTTTTTCCCTTTTGGCTGTGGCGGTTGCTAATCAGATTGCAGGCTAATTAAGGGCCGCGGCGTTGTAGGCATATTATCAAGTCACACAAATCGAGGCTGAAATTGCAGCCCAATTTAGATGAAAGAGCCGCGATTATAACGCGAGAGGAAGAAAATTGGCCCTTTGCAGCGTCGCCGAGAGTTGGTTTTTCCTCTCAATATATCTGGCGTGTCGTGCTGCAGGGCTGGAATTTCTAATCGTGCAAAGCCGCTTTTCTCTGCCCCTCAGCAAAATCACGAGGCTCAGATTAACTACATAATTCTTTCGCGTGGAATCTTGTTAATTTTATTAAAAGATTAATTAGCAAAAGAAATAATTAAAATGGTATAAAAAAAATGATGTTTTTTATTGTTAGAATGTTAGGTTTACGAATTAATCAAGAAAAAAGTAAGGTGAAAATATAAAATTTAAAAAAATTTGCGTTTTAGGATGTATTTATTTATTTAGCCATTCATAACTAACTATTGCTTAAAGGAAAATGTCAGACAAATTCTGCTGAAACATAATTTTTTTGAGTATATCAATTATCTCTAACACTCTCGATTTTAATTGTTGATTTTTTCATACTCATTTCTGGATCGACTTCTGTACAGGGCAAATTTGCCCATCATAGGACCCAATAAATACTTATTTGCTATTTTATTTAAATTTATCAAAATAGCTATGGAAAATTCCAAGAAGGTCTCCTTTAATAATATCAAGCTCAATTTTAATTTATTAAAAAAAAAATTGTTCATAGAAACATCCAGTGCATGCAAGTCGCATAAATTGGTGTCTTAATGAGAATTACTCTGCCATAATCAACACATTCAAATAATATTCAAAACTTCTCAAGTCTTAGAAATATTTAAGGTTTTCAATTAAATAATCTGTTATTCAACTAATTACAGAAGAGTCTGATGCAATTAATTTTCCGTTTATACAATTAAATTAATTAAATAACGAGTTCATAAAAGGTTTAATGGAAAATGAAATCACTTTAGTGACGTTATACCTGTGTACCCTAACTTTGGAATAAGGGAAAGTTTCATTCAGTTGTGAGACAAAACACGACGCGTGCTCGTTCATTCCGCCCAAATTAATTTCCACCCTAGCTCTCTCCTCTGTCTTTGTCGTTTTTCTCTTGAAGAAAACTCAAGTAGGCGAACGCATGAGAAAAGTCGACAATGTTCGACACTGGCTTTTGCTTTCTCTGGAAACAAGAGTCTTTGTCTTTTCCTCATTCATGGGCTGCGGAATTCTCTGCAGCCACACTCGTATCTGTTGTTCTGCCTGCAATTCCTTTCGCTCAGAAAGAGCCATTCCCATTGCTCCAGCTAATGGATGAGAGCTCGCGCAATTCTCGGTCCCACCGATCAATCGAAAAAAGCACGCAACTCAAAATTTATCAGCCGGCTGCATGAACTCGTCAATGCTTTTGCCATGTTTCCGACGAAAACGTACCGGTGGGATTTTTTCTGCAAGCGAGGACAAATGCGTTGATTTTGAAATTCACTGGGCAGTAGAGAGGAAAAAATTGAATCGGCGATGCTTTTGCTTATTATTTTCATTTACAGACTGCCTGGGGGAAATTAGTGCGTGGAGACTAAAAAAAGTAATTTTATTTATTGCTAGTGCCGTGACTCAAAACAGAAGAGGAAATAATGTCATTTTCAATAATAAAAAGTAGCTTTTGATTTTGTAAAAAGGATAAAATCATTATGGCGATTAACAATTCGTAATTGAAATTTCGGTTCAGTTGATATTATTAAACTTTTTATCAATTCTAAATTTTATCATAAATCTAGTTAAAAAAGGTGTATTCTTTTTTTAAATTCACATTTTAATCAAAGAAGGAAGTTTGCATGAAGATAGCCAAACTATACATATGATAAATTTATTAATGCGCACAAAATTTTACTTTTGATAACTATAATTTTCCAAGAACCACCTTAAATACATTAAATTAATGTGGTGGGAACATGATATAATTATTTTTTTTGTTTAATATGGTCTCTTTGCTTGTTTTACGCTTTACACAAATTTGGCTCGGCTATTATATTGATTTCAATTTGGGGTATTTGAATTTCAATCAGAAAACCCTGCTTATCTTTAAAACTTTAAAGAAAAATTTTAACTTTATTTTTCAGCGTCAGCAATCGAAATAAGCAAATAACCAGGGGAAAAAATTGGTTTAATCTGTAATTTTTCCTGTATCTTCTATCAGTCTATGGTGTAATTTAATTGTACTACATCAAGAGAGAATTCAATCAATTTTTCTTCAGAATTTGTTTGCTCGAAACATTTACTATTAATACGTAGATGCAACACTGATTTGCTGAAGAGCGCCGGCTGAGAGATCAATAATTCACAAATTATTACTTCTCCGAAAGGCGAAAGCGTGGGCAGTTGCGTACCTTTGAGCCAAGGGTTGTTGAGAATCTATAGAAATCTTAAGTTGAAAGAGGGACAGAGGGATAATTGGAACAACTGCAGCTCAAATATATTGGAAGAAGCCTCTCGAAACTGGCAACTGCTTCAGAGGATTAGCTTGCTGAGAAATCAGAAAATACTCTCCAGATAAAAAAAACGTCAGTGATGAAATTGGCATCTCCACATTAAAAAATCGATCAGAGTGTAGATATCTGCACTTCCATCCATACTATACTTAGCGCTGTTCTTACAGCATCGCATCTTTCCTTTGGAAGGTGTTATTTGAAGCAATGCGTGCCGCCGCTTTAGATAGTCCTGCAGTTTTTTTGCTTGGTGATGCGTCGCATCCTTTTATCTGCGATAAAAGCTGCAGTCACGTCTCTTTTTAAGGTTGTGAGACACCTTTTTAATCGTCACTGAAACCAGAGGCGTTTCTCGCTTCCGAAGAGTGTCTTTTGCACTTTCTGCCGCCACCATTATTTTGCTTTATCTCGTTCGCCGCCGGCGACAACTTTCCGCAGTAAATGCTAGGCAAAAATAACTCCAGCCGTTCCTCTCGAGAGAAAAAAAGTCCTGTGATAATGAAAAAATATTTATTTAGATTCGCTATAATTTTGAAGTTTCTGTACATAATTATTATAGATTAAATAATAAACAATAATATTGATAATTATTTCACCAAAAGCAAACCCATCACGATACTCAATAACAACATTGAATATTTATTATTTATAACGAGTACATCAAAGCGCTCTGCCCGAGGCGACCATGGTCTTGTATTTGGTCGGGAATAAAATTTTTCAAGCAAAACATGTCAAATGGTGATACTGTTGACGTTGCACTAATTGAGCTTGCCTGGAAAATCACATTGAGCGCAAAAATATTTAATGTAAAAATAAAAATAAAATCTTCCGTCAGCGAGGTAGAAGCTTTTTTCGCGATCATCGTTAGCTTAAATTTGGGTTTATTTGATTTTCGCGTGCGCGCCAGCTCGAAAATCGAAAATTCACTCCGGCAGCAATAACCAAGAGTGGATCACGCTTCGCTGAGCTTCGGCCAAAGCAAATTACTGTAGTCGTGTTTGGTAATCGAATTACTCCAAATTGCATGAGACGCAAACGGGCCCATATGATATCTGTTAGCTCGCCGGTCAAAGTTATCTTAAGAGATATTAGCCTTATCTAATAGCAATCTTGTTATGAGCAGCTGACGAGCGAGCCGAGATGGCTTCGTTGATTGAATTATCTAACAAAGTATCAAAGTAAGCTCAAAACGGGACAGAAAATTAATGTGATTAGGTAGAAACTAAAGCATTAGTAAATTGTTTGTTTGTAGATACTGACTTGAGCAGATGTCTGTCAATCCAAGTGAACTTTGGCAGGGTCAACCGATCATTACCAAATTTTACAGGGTGATAGACCTTGTTAAGAGGTTTCCAAACATATATAGGTTTACCCCAATATCTCAAAAGTTCCGGGTTTTACGGGCCATTCAAATTTGGATTTTGAAAATTTTTAAACGTCTGTATCTCGGCTTCTCGTAGTCGAAGAACAAAAATCTTGGGTGCTTTGGAATCCTCTTGTTGCCCTCTACAACTTTGCTTTTAAGTGCAAAATAGTAGGTCACAGGTCAAGGTCACTTCCGGTGACCTCGTGACCTTTGACCTCAAATTTGAGGGTGAGCCGTCACTTTTTTCAAAATTCTGAGATAGCCATTTTGTAGATCGCAATATTTTACGTAATATAAGAGAATAAAAAAAACGGGACCCCTCTTAGTTTTTTTAATTAAAAAATAAAACCAATAAAAAACGTGGTTTTCCGAGCTCCGAACTTGGAAAAATAACT